TTTTTTTTTTTTTCATAGGGACTTCGGTAAAACAATTTCGTTTGAACAAACTAATTTTCCTATATAATCTCGGTACTTTGCTGTAATTTTCGCCGTGATAATGTGTGCATTACGGACCGTAGACATTTTTAAAAATTTGCAAAATATGGAAAAACCCTACTTGCGCATAATTGAAACTTTCGAAAATATAAATGCTAATACAGTATTTTTGTAAGGAAAATTTAGCATAGCAGGACGCATGAAGGTCTAATAAGAATTAATTTGGATTAATTGTAGAAGTTGTAATTTATCGCAGGTCCTTGCTGGGAGTGCGTCATTGTAACGGGATTTTACTTCATGCGAGTCAGTATATATATTTAATGGACCAACTCACTTGAACTGATAGTTGCCGACATCGTCGATCTTGAAATTTTGGTTGTAAATCGGGACTGGAGGACCCCGGGTCGGTGCTGAGGCACCTTTGTCAAATTTCTGTTCCGGAGCGAAGACCGCATTCGGACCAGCACTGTTCCCGACATCACTACTGCTGCTGACCTGTTGTTGCGGTGGCAGGAAATTATTGGGGTTGCCAGCACCAGTGATGGGTGGCAGTGTTGGGAGTTGACCCAATGACGCTGGAGCAATGAATTGTTGTTGTTGTTGTTGTTGTTGTTGTTGCTGGGGACTCGAGCGGAAATCGTTTCCGGATTGCTGCTGGCGAAGCTTCTTGACCCTACGGACTTTGCCCCTGCGAATGGTTCCGGGTTGCTGGGGTTCGTCTCCTGCTGATGCACTTTGCTGGGCTGCGGCCGATGCGACGAGCAGGAATAGCGGAATACTCTGCCAAGAACACGGGGAATAATGTTTGTGCACCCGAGATGCGGACGTAGTTGGTGCATCAAGAGTGTCCCTAAGTTGAAATGTCCCCAAGCCGAGTCTCATTTTCCCTTAGACTTACATAATTATATAATTTTTAATTGGTGTTTTACGTACAAAATACTCACCATAATTCCATGAAATATAAAAATTGTCTCCCAATTTAAACTGATTCAGTCAATATATTTCAATACAATATATGGACATTTGGGGAATTGAATACTGATACCTCTGTACAGTACATAGAAATGTTGGCACTCTGTAAAAATGACATTCAAGAGAAAAAGAGAGAAGGAAGTCCCTCTATGCTTGAGCTAATTTTTTAAATCAGCTAAATGGATGGTAAATAATATCTGTTTCTTGTAATTTGGCCTGAAATGTATTTGCAATTTGATCACAAAATGTCTCTATGTTGAGTCAGTGTCCTCATGCTGGGCCTTTTTTATTAATTTTTAATGGGAAAAATAAGTGTCCCTATGTCAAATTGTCTGTAGGTCAAGGTGTCTGCATGTGGGGGTCTCACTGTAGTTTTTTTTTAGTCAAAGTTTAATTTGCATGGGTATGAGTTTTACTTTGCCCTGGGGGGAGATAATGGAAAATTATCTCAATGCCTTGCATTGTATATATATTGAGAACAAGCAATATCGATTTTTGTAAGGAAAAGTTTCACAGGGATGAAAATGTTTTGGTAATTTTTTGCGACCCACATGAGTTTTTTCCTTTTATGTTGATGCTCAGAGTTTGAAAGACAATGTGGTCGGTTTTTTTTCATTTTCTTGAAACATTTTGAGGAAGTTCTTAGGCAAAACGTTTCTGGGACCTGTTTTGCGACTTATGCAGTTTTTTTTTGTGTAATTTCTGTGTAGGGAGAATTTAATGGGTAAAATGTTGCTTTGAAAATTTTGCGACCTACGTTTTTTCCTCTATGAAATCCGTGCATAAAATTCTGTTAGAAATTCAGTACAAAGTCTATAATGATGTTTGTGATTTTCAAAAAACTGTTTATTGAGCAAAGATTTTCCGGCAATTTTTTTTTTGGCCGACGCAAATCAAACTCTGCTCAAATTTTGGAGAAAAGGATGTGCAGACCTGTTTACACCTGTTCTCTCTAAAATATCTTGCCAAAAAAGCACAGGAATCATTTTCAAAACAAAAGAAAATGAATACTCATTGCTGAAATTTTTTCAAGTTCAAAAAAGAATAAAAGTGCGGTTTGCAGTTTTATTTTTCAATTTTCGGAAAATCTACAAAAGGAATTCCATGGAAATATTCCGAACAACGTTATTTGAGACTGGCATATTTTTAAAAGTTTTTCTGCTCACATTTTCTTTTTGAGAAAACGATATGCGGTCCTGTCAACACCTGATGTTCACTCTTAAATCTCATAAAGAATAAAATGCACGGGGATGATTTTGAGATGGAAGTAAATTTCAGCTCACTGCATAAATTCTCATGACTTTTGAAAAATAAAGCTGCGATTTGCAGTTTTCTTCTTCAATTCTGGAAAATTCTAAAAATGAGATGTTGTAGAAATATTCCAAACAATACGTTATTTCAAACTCACACATTTTGTAAAGAATTTCTACTCAATTGTTTTTAGAAAAATATGTGCGGCTTTGTCTGCACTTATTGTTCTCTCTGAAATATGTTCCCAATAAAATACACGGGAATAATTTTCAAACGGAAGTACGCTAAATGAATACAGTACTCACTGACGTCACTGCTGGAATTTTCATGAGTTTAAAAAATAAAACTTGCAGTTTTACTTTTCAATTTTGGGAAATTCTATAAAATGAATTTTTTATAGTAACACCCTAAGCAACTTTATTTCAGCCTTACGGAATTTAAAAATAAATGAAATTCCATTCTAAATGTTTGCAGAAAAGGACGCGGCGCTATTTGCACCTGTTCTCTCTGAAATCTCTTCTCAATGAAGAATAAAATACACCGAAATAATTTTCAAATAGAAGTTCAGAGTAAGATGAGTTCAATATATAATGAACACTCACTGCTGAAATTCTCATGACGCCTTAGCTGGAGAAGAACACGACGAGTAGAGCATTTATTTACGATATGTTTATTCGCATAAATATTCTAAGCAGCAACGTCATTTCAACCTTACGCAGTTATTTTTCTTTTAATGAAATTCCAGTCTACATTTTTTTTAGAAAAGAACGCGGCGCTGTGTACACCTGTTCTCTATGAAATCTCTTATTCTCAATGAAGAATAAAAAGCACGGGAATGATTTTCAAATGGATGTATACAGTAAAAATTAGTACTCACGTGTCTTAGCTGATGGGGAAGAACACGACGAGCAAAGCATTGATATACGATATATTTATTCACATAAATATTCGAAGCAACGTTATTTAAACATTACGCAGTTTTTTTTTTCTAATGAAAATTCCTGTCTAAATTCTCGGAGAAAGCGACGCGGCGCTGTCTACATCTGTTCTCCATAAAATATCTTACTCCCAAAAAAATAAAGAATAAAAAAGCACGGGAACAATTTTTTTTTTTCAAATTGATGTACATTAAAATGAATACTCACTGCTGAAATTCTCATGACGTCTTAGCTGATGGAGAAGAACACGACGACGAGCAAAGCATTTATGTACGATATGTTTATTCACAAAAATATTCTAATTAGCAACGTCATTTCAACCTTACGCAGTTATTTTTCTTTTAGTGAAATTCCAGTCTACATTTTTTTTTTGAGAAAAGGACGCGGCGCTGTCTGCACCTATTCTCTGTGAAATCTCTTATTCCCAAAAAAATAAAGAATAAGAAGCACGGAAATAATTTTTTTTTTTTCAAATGGATGTACAGTACATTAAAATGAATACTCACTGCTGAAATTCTCATGACGTCTTGGAGGAGAAACACGACGAGCAAAGCATTTGAAATATATATATTTGCTCTCCGGCCGCGGGATTCCTGGGTTACATGCACTGAACGAGTTTTTGAAATGGACTGTGGGGTCCGGGTCCTCGGGGAGGCGAGTGAGCGACTTTTATCTCGTCCGCAGCCCCGAGTTCTTGAGCAATGCTCTCTTCCATCCGCTGCGGTTTACACGTACGCGTGCGTGTCTTTGTCATGTCTGTCCGTATGTCGAGTCATTGGCAGGGCATCGTCTGATTCTTCTTTTAAACGTATATACTTGTTCTTTTTTTTTATTCAATTCAAGAAAATGAGAAACCTTTTTTGTTGTTGTTGGGATGAGGTACAGTCAAACCCCGATAAGACCCCAACATTTGTCCAGAGCAATTTTGGCAGTTTAAAGGGGTTGGCGGTTTATCAAATATTTCATTTTAAATTATTTGATCAAAAATACTTGATTTTCCTCAAAAAAGTCATAGATTTTCTAGAAACTTCAGTAATTTTCCAAAGAGTATTGCTGTGATTGATGGATTACTCTATCAGAAAATTCATTTTTCTGCATAAATTTATTCAAAATTTTAAGATCAGGTCAATATGTTGTTCAAATTTTTTTCAAAAAAAATGACCATTATTTTTTTCAATTCTTACAAATACAAGATCCTTATTGACAGAAATTATAATTCTACGCAAATGTTGGCAATGTAACAAAGACCAAACTAATAGGAAACAGCGCTTTTGTTTCATCACTAATACTGGCAGATGGCAGTTGGCGTCTTATCCAGGTTTTCTATAGAATTTAACATGGAGATTTGTTTCATTAAAAATTTTGGCAGTTGCCAAGGGTGGCGCTTTATTGGGGAGTGTCTTAACTGGGTTTGACTGTATATACAGAGCATGAAACCAATCACAGTTCCCTGTGTTCCCCAACCCTTTTGGGCCTTTTGAATTTTTTGCGGACAGGCAAATTTTCAAAAACTGTTCTGCAGACCGGCAAAATTGTTAAAAAATGTTAATATACACCCTCAAAAAAGTTTTGCCTGAAATACTTTATGGCAGGTATTGAAAAAGTTTCTGTTATGCGAAAAAAATAAGAAACAATAGAGCAGCTATAATGGAATGGCTTCAAAAAAAAATTAGGAAGATGGGCTTGAAGAAAAATGCATCAGAATTGAAAATTCAAGTATTAAAATTTATTTCATTGGGTGAAATTTTGTCTCAAGTCTTATTAGGAGAAAAACCAACATATGTTCATGAGATAATTATAACTAAAATTGTGTTGCAAACTTTTAAGATGAATATATTGATAAAGATATAAAGATAAGTAGCATCCTTCATTGATGGTTTTGATTAATTTATTATGCCTGAGAAAATTTCCTGCAGACCAGCAGAAATTCTGAGGACAGGCACCAGTCTGTGGACCATGGGTTGGGGAATGCTGGTTTATACAGTTGAACAGTTGAACCTGAATAACTGAAATCTCCCTTTGATATGCTTGATTTTTTGAGTACCTGTCTGAATATTCTATAAGAAACAATGCATTAAAAATCTTTCTAACACAAATGTGTTTCCTCTCTAACCTCCATAACTCAAATGTTCTGAGGCCTTTTGTCTATTATTTTCTTGACGTGAAAGTGAAAATCAATAAAAAATAACAATGTGTTTTGAAAGGAAGTGAAAGACTAATTGTGAAAAGTGAACCCCTGCCTCTAAGTTCAGAATCCTGTTAACTCATTTAAGAAGCAATTTAAGGCCCAGACTATCACCATTTACAATTTCACTCCATTCTTCTATCTTTCCCACAATAAAGATTCTTGTTTTATCTTTGCTGGTTCCTTTGAAATTTGACTGGAAGAGGTTATTTGACTGTAGTATCAAACTGAGATTTTGAATTGTTGGATAAGAGTCCTGGTAATAAAAAAACCATAGTAAAGGCATGAAATTTTGATGCAACAAAAGTTTGAATCTGTTTCTGGACCAAACAAATACTGTATGTTGCCTCGAGATTTTCATAAAATTTTTGAAAATGTGTGTTCCTTAAATTGGAGATTAATTCCTTCAAACATGGGTTTTTTGGGACAAATTAACATACAGTACTTTAACAATATGACAGGGATTTCCTGCAGCATTTCTTGCATTTGAAGTACAGGAACAAAACTTCTCCTGAAGTGGAAATACAATTACAGTATTTATTCTCACAAGTATACAAAATTCTGAAAATGTATCAAGAAAGTAATTTACTGTGATGAGGTTTTTTCCCATTCTGTCTATGGAGTTTTAACTGGGACTTCAACAAAATTATCATCATGAAAAAATGTCATCAATTTGGACAAATAAAGAGATGAAAATAATTAAAATGTTGACCATCTATCCTTCCCACAACATCATGCTTTGAAGCTTGACTGCAAGAATAATAAATTGTAGATATTTTTTCCAATGATTAAGTCCCAAAAAAAGTTCACAGAACTAGCAAATGGAAGCAATCACTTCGTGCATATAATCATGCAATCTTTCTAGTTTAAATAGTTCCAATTCAAGTACCCTTTTATACGTTTTTTATGGAATCAATTATAGGTTGCTACACTTCTTTGATGATATGATTTTCAATCTTGGTTAGTTGGTTGTGATTATAGCTCAGAAATTGTAAGTGAAATACACCTGTTATGATTTCCGGTTACGGTATCTTCAACTCCAGGAATCATGAAGACGAGAAAAGAAAATAAACATGCAAGAAGCATGCGTATTATTAATTTGAAAATGATTTTGTGGAAACATTGGCTATGTTTTTTAATATACAGAAAGAATTTGTATATGACTGCAAAAACTGGTGAGATCTCACATACTTTTTTATTCATTTATAATATTTTTAAATTATTACTCTGATGATGTTGATCCTAATTTCTTATTCATGAATTACAAAATACAATTCAAGTTCCATATTAATTTATAAATATCTAAAAAAAAGGAGTGAATTATCAATTGGAGAATGATTTTGTGGAAATACAGTATTGGCTATGTTATTCTTAATATTTGTAGAGCATAACAACATGGTGAGATCTCACATAAGTTTTTTCATTCATAATATTATAAAATTATAAGTCTGATGATGTTGATCCTAGTTATTCACAGCCATGAATTACAACATACAATCCAAGATTTAAATTATTTTTGATGGCCTTGAAGAGGCTTCAATTATTTTTTTAAATACTGTCTCCTTAACTTGAGTTAGTAGCAGGATAATTCAGGTCTACTATTTTATGATAAACCCCAAATTCTGGTTTTTAAACATCATACACCCAACCCTAAATTCGGTAATGCGTTCAGTCTCTGTTTTGAGCAATGGGGACAATGTTGAACCCTGAACACTCTCAATATAGGGAATACCAGTTACTATCTCATCAGTTTCTGATTTACCCAAGTGGCACAAATTGACCAACATTTCTGCACTGTTCTAAAATATTTTACTTTTTGTCATAAAATATTTTTAGATTTTCAATAAAGAATAACTTGAAAGTGGCATACGAGATTCTCCAGCACAAGTCTGAGTTTGTTGACAACAACTGAAGCTGAAACCACCTTTAAATCACTGCTTGCAATAAATCGGCCTTCTTTTTTTTTGTTGCTCACTCAGTCTAGCCTTGATCGTCTATACATTTTATAGAGTAATATCCCAGGGCTGTCAGTTTGAAATTGAAAACCCATTTCCTTGAGAAAACCAATCATAAAATTTCAATATATACATGATGCGGAATAGCATGAGGTCACGTACTGTATTTCCCAATGAGCTTCCTGTGAAATTATTTCTTCGTCAGAAAAATGAGGATCTTGCGTCGATATATAGTGAAGCCAAAAAATAATTTTTCCCGACTTTCGAGATTCAGTATAATTGGAAACGAAAGTATCTCAAAGAACGACTGAATGTAAAATCGCACGAATTTTCCATTTTTTCCACGATTTTGATTTCCTGTGACTATAAAGCCTGTATTTTTTCCCCCTCACAGCAGTTTTTCGTATATTCGCTCCTTTTCAGGAAATCACACTGAAAATGCAAATGGCATACAGCAATAAAATTTGTTTTATGTAAATGAATATATTTTAAAATGAATTTCAAAAGCGCTTCAAACTGGGTGCCTGAGGGAATGTTCAAAATGTCAAAAATGGAATCAATTTTTCTTTGTCATCCAAAAGAAAGAAAGTTGTTGGGAAATTTCGGTGGAATTTCCAGATCACACTGAAATTAAACTTTCGAATATTTCGGATTTATCTGCCTGAAGAGGCAACTTGGTTATAAGTACTTTTTCTCTTAGATTTTTGCATTGCATCTAAAAACTTGTGCAATTATAATTGGCATTCTTTTGAATGACAGACTCTGAATTTACAATAATTTATAATAATTTTGAAAAAGCTAAGTTATACAGTGGCAAATGTGGCTTCCATAGCACATAATTGCCTCATTTGGGGATGAATGCTTTTTCGGTGTTCATATGGATTTTTTCAGTTTTTCTGTTGATTTCATATAGCAAAAACAGTTGCGAAGTTTCATCCTGATATGACAGTTATCATTTTGTCTCCCTTGATTTCTAGCGGAATTTGGCTGAAAAGTTGTTTGAATCTCACTGAATCATTAAGAACCAGAAATAAAGGAAACAATTGTTGTCACAATCGATGCAATATTTATCAAGAAATGTTTTCATTCACTTCATGAAACATAGGTCTGGAATAACCATGAGTCATCCAATAAAGCATCATATTAATCTGCTAAAACTAATACTTTTTTGGCAGAATTATCATTTGGAATGGATTCAAAATGAAGGATGATCTTGAATATAGGTAACTCTTCCAAAAATCATATTCCTGAGAATAGGAAAATATAATTACAAAGAGAATACCGTTTTTTCATACAGTATCAGAAGCTTTAAAGGAATTGCATGATCATAGTTTGGAATACAATTATTGTAACAGCAATTTTATTACTGTTAAGAATGCACTGCTTCAAAAAATTGAAAAAATGTATACTGTACTTTATATGGGTACATGGACTCCCTGTGCAAGGACATTCACAAAAAAATTCGGTACTTTCCTGTTATCTCAGTACAGTACCTACTTTCCTGTCATCTCTGTACCTTCCCTCTGACCAATGTAACCTGACCTAACCTAACTTCACCTAACCGCCTCCCAAAATCAGTTTCTGCTTTCTTTGGGTTTCTGCTAGAAACTGATTTTGGGAGGTGGTTAGGTAAAGTTAAGTTATGTCTGGTTATGTTAATTAAAATATATTTGTAACTAACATAACCTGACGTAACCTAACTTTACCTAACTGCCTCCGAAAATCAGTTTCAGCAGAATGCAGAAAAATAAAATTCACAGATTCTGGTAGGTCGTCGTGATTATGAACTCATCCTAAAGATTTGTCTGGATGGTAGTACAGTCTAGAAATGAGGTACTGAGATAACAGGAAAGTACCAAATATTTGTTGTAGAGTGAACTTTGATGTAAAGAACCCATATAGCATGGAAATAAGACCCTTATATATACGACCAAAAAATCGTTCAACAGAGAAAATCGCTACAGACAAGATTGTTGTAGACTGTAAAGGGAGTCCACTTGTGTAAGTGCATGGGTTTTAAAATACTGCATATCCTCACACGTGTACAAAAACCCGTGGATCGGTAATATTAAATATGAAATGCTGGAAAAAACGCAAAAATTGAAGAACTGCTGATGAACCTTATTCTTGCAATATCCATGTCTAGTATTAATCCTCTGTATTGCCTAGTACTTGCGGAAAAAGTAAGTACCGCAGTACTTTCATTTCCCCTCAGCGGAAAAAGCAAATATATTTATATTCAGAAGCGACCAAAGTTCCAATTTCATCCGCTCTCGAGTAATAAAGCGCATTCGCACAATTAAATTCTCTTCACAAAACATTCCTTTGTTTTTCGTCCTGCTTTATAGTAGCGGCTTTGTTTTACTTGTTGGCTGCTGTATTAATTATTTGAGAAAAATTTAAGAAGAAAAAAAGAAAAAGCGTCGAAACGACGGAAAAAAAAAGAGACCCGCAGATCTGTGAGAAGAAAGAGCAAAGGGTTGCATCACGCTTTATATATATATATATAAGGAAAGCACCATGGGTTATTGCGAAACCCGACGTCGGGTCGGGTGATTCCACTGAAATGAGCGATTCGCAGTGCGCAATTTTTATTTTATTTATTTTTTTTTGTAGTATTTACGAGTGTATATAGCGATTGCGCATCCTACTGCTCTGTGTGTTTTTTTTTCTTTCTTTTTAATATTATTTGTATGCCTGTTTTGGAAGAGGTGATGCTTCGCGGGGTTAGTTGCGATTTGTCTGGGACGGATGTGGCATTTGCGCAAGTTCCTGCGTTCTTATATTTCCGTCTTACGTTTTGTCAAATTTTCTTCTTTTTTTTGTTTCTGGGCTTGCGTAGTACGAAGGGGGTGTCTTGAAAGTTCAGTGAGTTCCTTGTTGAAATTGTCAATGCAACTGATGCACTGCATGGATGAAATATTGAAACATATGCCGTATTATTCATATGTTGCGCATGTATTATGCATAATATTTGTTAGAAAAAACTTTGGCATGCCAACAATTTGATGCCAGACAAGTAATTATTCTCTTCTAATCCAAAGAAAATGTTGCAGCTTCTGCTGGAGCCTGTGAACCAAACCCAAGTTTGGTTCCCAGGCCCAGCAAGGACATTTTTGAATAAACTGTTCATCCCTAATATTCTCTTCCTTTCCTGATTCCTAACTTCTTCTGATTGAAGCACTTGCATTTGAGTTGTGAACCCAAGCAGATCTCTGTGTAGAGAAGCTTTTTGCGTGTTATTCAAAATCTGGAAAAGCTACCGAGTGGGGAAATTGGTGCACACTGGGGATTTGTTTGTAATTCTGCACAGTGACCCTGCTGTGCACCTGAAGTGTATACCAAAGTTCTTCTGTTGCACATGCATATCCCCAATGTGCACCAATTGTGTGTTCACAGGTCCTAATGAGTCCCGGTGTAAACATTTGTTTATTCAATGTGGTTCCAATGTCATGGTGCATTTGTGTGATGCTCCTGTTATTTCACATTTGTGCACCAAGTGTAACCCTGGAATGGTAGCAAAATTTCCTCTACAGGAGTGCACACTTTTACCCCCAGAATATCTCATATGATCCAGTTGTGACCCCGGTGTGTACCTACTGTGGGGTCACAGCAAAAATAGGTCCCCACTCGGGTAGTGAAATCATATATTCATTGCCCAAAATATACCATCTTGAAATGGGACAAACTCATCCCAGTCGCAGCCTGGCTGCTTGACAGTGTTTTCTTTATCTTGAAATTCCTTGAAAAGCTCTGATTTCTACTTGACAGACTTTGTCAAAAGCCAAGCGTATCTTTTCCAAGCATCTGTTCAATTCAAGCCTTTTAATTCACATCATCTTTCTCTCTTTGTGAGATTTCCCTTAGCACAACATTATTTTTCTCACAATATTTTCACCATAGTTACCTGGGTAACAAACTGATGTGTTTCAGCAAAGTTTCACCAGCAAACTTTTGTTTGCGCAAAACATGAATAAACCTCAACATTCTCTGATTGAGCCATATTCAGTCTGTTCATTAATATGCTCACAAAAATTCTCAATAAACCTTGATGAAGCCCCTATAAATATTGTTGACATTATTTCGGAATATTTAGGTCAAATTTATTTTGTGATTCACAATTATTTGCAGATAGTTAACGGCAAAAATTTCACGCTTCTTTTCTCTACAAAAAAATGTGTGCCATTGAGAATGACTTTCGGAGTTTAAACCGCTGTTCGAAATTTTGTCATGGTGAGAAAACAATTCGTTCCACTCGTTTACCACGAACGTTATTATGTTGAAAAAAAATTTGCATGGACTAATTAATGCGGAGGCAAAATTGGTAACATCTAGATTTTTAACACCGATTTTGTTAGATACAGTAATTGAAAACAGTATTTATATGGGCCACTAATAAATATTAGAGGAAAAGTTTTTAAACAAAAGCGACCTCTATGTATATAGGAATAATTCTGTATGCAAATATTGGATAAGAAATTCAAATTCTTCCAGATTTTACGAAAAGGATGGACGGTAAGGCTAAGGGAAGTCATTTCTGATTGGATTTCGAATCTATCTGTTCGTAACGAGATTTCAGTACTAAGGGAACTTCCAAAATTAAATAAAAATGAACTTCTGAAGTTCCGACCGCTTGCATCAACGGCAATTATCGGTGATTCACAGTATTTTTGAAAAAAACCCGTGGTAGAGGGCAACAAATGCCCTGAAGTGTGAGTCTCTCATTGTTTGCGGGTGAATGTCCGTTTATTTTCACCTGACCCAACGATTAAATTGCACCTTCTCTGAGTCAACGACCCAATACGAAACGGTTGAAAGATTTTCAATAGACCGCTATATAAAATGGTCTGCACGAAAAATGATGGCTTAATTATATGACAGTTGACCGCGTCGGTAATTTAGATTGCACTGAGTACTGACCACGCTGTACTGTATTTCCCATCAACTGACATGCATGAGAGGCACTACAAAAGTTATGTTTCGATAATAAATCATCAAGAGAGCCGCAACCTTCATTATGGGGTAATAGCGTTACTTGTGTGCCGTTCTTTTTTCAAAATTCGAAAGGGAAAGCTTGCTGCAAATCAGAATAGTAGTGTATACGATTTTTGTTGAAAAAAAATTAACGTGAGTCACTTGGCTGAAAATTACAGACTTAGCTTCTGTTGCAAAAATAAAGGGCAGAGTATAATTTGTTACACTGAACAATGAACTCAAGAATCCAAATTCTCAGAAAAACTTGTCCTTGTACATCTTTGTGTGAACCAGGGAAAAACTCTGGTTCACAGTTTCACACACCCATTTTTTCTCAAAACCTTCTAGGTTATTTCATGGCCAAGTTTCTGGAAAATCCAAATAACTGTTATTCATCCTTGAAGGATAGTTTTCCTACTTCATCTCAAAAACTCACTCTTCTCTGAGCTATCATATGCTGTACATGACACTCTAGCATTTCTTTTTAATATTATGAGCGTTGACTGTGCTCTTGAATTACAGTACAACAACCTTAAAATACTGTAGTGTGAAATTTCACCCTGGTTGTAGCCTGACCGAAATTCTTTGTGACATTTATTTCTAAAAACATATTCTTTTTAAAGTTTACAGAATCATTCCTGACAGCTTCAAGCAGCAATGGTTCAAAAGCTACCAGCCGAAAATTATAATCAGAATCCCCCCCCCCAAGTTGAATTCAACTGGTATTCAATCATTTTTGTAATTGAACCCGAGATGTATTCAATACTAATACGTACTGTATATTCTTTTAGGTACTGTTCTTTTCAAAATGTAAAATTAATTTTACCTTGTGTGAATTTCCATTTTTTTCATGGCGACAGCTGTAAAGCTTTTCTGTGTGTTGCGAAATCGGGCCACATTTTCGAGTCCTCCCAGAATTTGTTTGACATGCACCAAAAAATACGTTTTTTTGCATCTCATGATGGAAGAAGCTACAGAATTTTTTACTTCGTTTTCTTTTCACAAGTTTCTGAATGAAATTTACAGCATCAGTTGTTCGCATTTCTGTTCGTATTTCCAAATCCAACTTACAAACAAACAGGGAATAAAATCACATTGAACGCACGACAAAAATTTTCAAATTAGACGGCGAGGACTGAGCCGACTGAAGAAAAAAATTCGGCGCGCGTCGCAAAAAAAAACAAACATCGACAAGCAATAAAATCAATATCCGTCTCTTGCTTCCATCTGAGCAGTAACTTTTTTTAGTACATCGGTTCGAACCCTCGGTGGAGATTTCCGTTATTTCCTGACTAAATGGCTTTTCACAAAAACAAAAATCTGTTTTCCAGAAGCATTCCACAAAAGAAGGACAGAACGTCATTGAGCATTTCCCGTCCTCCCTGGCGCACATGAATGGGCAAATAAAGCGACTGGAATTGTTGAGTTACTGATTTTTCTTTTTACCAGGCAGAACAAAAATCACAGTCCATGGGCAATTTTGCCAGCAGAAAGAAAAAACAAAGTTAGCATACATGTGTCGGATTCCGAGTCCACAACATAATTGTCCCTTCCTCAGAAAAAAGTAACATCACAAAATCGCGAGTAATATGAAAACTGAGTTAATCTTCGTATGAAACCTTCTTCCGGAATATCGACTCAACGGAAATGGCAAACGCGTCAAGCAGCTTTCGCGAACAATCCCGACATTTTTACAGAATGCTTCAAGCCTTGAAGGACGAGATTTTTTTTCTTTACATTAAAGCGAAAAACCGTTGATGAAGAGCGGAATCAATTGAAAACGAAATATTAACGCGAATGTAAAACATCTTCCACTTCAAGATGCTCCTTCGTTTATCGGCTATGTATCATAAAAAAGAAGAGTTTGCATGGAAATCAAAGACTCGCAGTAACTTGCTCTTGAATACACAAGAAACTCATTCAGAGTGGACCCAAAAATAAACCCAAGATGAAATTTGTCGCAATTTCAAATTTAAAATACAATAAAAGCTTACTTCCATGCAAATAAATTAACCAACCGAACAATGGCTCAAATATCTCTTGGAAGAAAAAGAACTTGCAGGATTCTTTCACACATTTTAAATTTGAATTTAGGAAAAACTCCGTCGAAATTAGTCGCGTCCATTTTTTACGCACAAACGGAACGAAGTGGATTTTACATTCGCGTAAATACGCCAAATCAACGACGTATACAGATGGCTTCGATCGAAAAAAAGTGCAATTACATGCAAGCAGCTTTTCAGAGAAAAGAAAAAAACGCGGTTAGCCTAAGGGAACTCCAAAGCCAAAAGGTTTTCCTGGACCGTTTTCACATGGTAAGTCAACGATAAGCTAGAGCAAAGGAAACAATCATGCGAGTCAATCTCACAACAGAGAGCGTATCACATTAACGGTAGTTTCTGTTCCAGTTTTTCAGAATCTCATCTCCTAAACATTCACATTGAATTTTCTAATCACACTGATCTAGACATTGTCACTGGCAAGGCTGGAAAGCGTTCTTCACGAAAACTCAGCCCGTCTGGGACGACGGATTAAAACATTCCGTAAATAAAGCCGTCCAAATGGATAAACTAAAGGAGTACACTTGGGTCGAAAGTCTCAAGCCCTCGAAGACAACGCGAGAAATTCAACTTCTCGCTCACAAGCTTCTTTTTTTGACACCTCGGGAAAGGAAGTGCAGTTTCCTGTGGATTTTCCGGAAGAACGGATGATCTCCCAACATGGATTTAGTTTTTTTTTTCTTTTTTGCAGCAAAACTAGGAAGAACTAGCTCAATTAGGGTCCCCTACATAACAACGCGGGAAAACCATTGGCGAGTATTCAATTAATGCTTTCCTCAGCGCTGCTCGGGACCAACATTCAAAACAGTCTCAAAATTCGAATTCAACTTCTCTAAATTCAATTTTCTTACAAATCAAGTCACGAAATCGATATACAAAATTATAATTCACCCAGCAATCAGCGCGACCAAGATTTTAATTTTCGCACGTTAACTCGTCAATTGAAGATTTAAAGTCACTCCAAAATGATTTCTGTCAAGAGGTTTGAAAATCGCCATTTCTCCATACATCAACTCTTATTAATTTCGCTTATTTCCACGAAAATAATTTTAAAAGGCCTCAAACTCATCAGTTTCACAATCCAATCGCGTCCATCAATTAGTGATTACTCGTAAATGCCCTCCGACATATTAAATACATTACTCGCTCAGATTCATTAATTATTGCGACGTTTGTGAATAAATGTCGAGGAAATTGTTTTTTTAAATACACGATTGTACGAGAGAAAACTCAGAAATTTTGTCAGCACAACAATTCCCTCGCTGGAGTCTCTTTGGATGGACGGCGAGGGACGCACATTTTTAGTGACTTGACGATTTTCATGATTTCCTCGAGATTTATCCAATTTTCGCCCAAGGGGGTTGACAATGAAAAATCGACTTGAGAGCCTCATCATCAAGATTTAAGGGGAAGTTCACGTACTACACGTACGTTTCATGAATTTTCACGTTCAAATGCTACCGAATTTTTAGAAAAACTGAATAATTTCTGTGACAGTATAAAATTACGTTCCCATGACAAAACGTATGATGTCGGCAATTTTCGCGTTAGTCGCACCAAGTGTGAGGGTTGTCTCGAAGTGTCGATTGTTGAGCAAGAAGTTAAAGTTGTTACGGGAGAAAATCTCCAGAAAATGAATGATTTCATTGAATCTCGTAAAAGATCCCTCACGGGTTTTGGAAATTCGACTCCCGAATTTGGATTCCCCTTCATTTCAAGTTAGTTCTCGGACACTCAAGACAAAAGTGGTGTTCATCTTGGGTTTAGCTGCAAGAAGAACAAAGTCAAAGAAATGGAATGTGATCCCAAGCAGCGGAGACGGCCAGCCCTCCCCCTTCGCCCAAATCCTCCCTCCCGCATATTTCCAATATTTTTCTTTCAAACGAAAAAAAAAAAAAAATTCAATCAAAAAAGTTAAACAATTCGTTCCGAAAGATCGATGGAACGACATCTGTCTCAAACATACGAGTCATTCGACGGCGACGGCGCCGTTGTGGTCGCCGGTCGTGCACCGTAGGCGTCCACGGCAATAGTCATCGTCGCAGATGCGCCGCCGCCACCATTTGATGGCGGCGGCGGAGGCGGTGGTTTCGGGCGGACGAATCCCCGCGTGGCTCTAAATAGCAAGCCAACCTCGCCATGCTTTCCGAGCCCGGCGGCCCCGGACGCTGAACTGGCCCCGAGGGCATCGCCGGTGCCGCTTCCGCTCGCTTTCCGAGGGCTCCCGAGACTCACTAGTGCTGATCCGACGCAAATGCCTGCGGAACATTAAGCAAAGCAAACATACAGAAACTCTCGAAACAATTGGTAAAGTTGAACGAAGGAAAAATATGGGAAACTCGTACTTGGCAATATTGAAAAAAAAGGAATACAAGCTCCCTCTAATACAAAATTCAAGGGACCAGAAAAAATTCGTAGTTGAGAATTCCATTGTACAGAACCCCTTTAACATGAGAGGAGAACCCTTCAGGACCAAACAAAATATTTCATTATACAGAGAAAATCGTTGTAGACAAGATGAGAGAGTCCACCTGCACTGTGGAACCTCTTCAAGTCAAACTCCAAGAGACCAGCAAAAAATCGAGTCAGGGAGGCTATCAATGCATTATTTCTAAGGGAATTCAGAAAGGAACTTGAAAAAAAATAACATACGGAGGCATTCGACTCAGGGTGGTTCAAGTCATCGAGGTTCAACTCTCGAAGATTCCCAATCAAAACGGATAAAAACTGTAACCAGAACTATAAGGTATTTGTTTTTCACAGTCCTGCATCAAATAAAATTCTGGTTAAAATTTAGGAAATTAAAACAATTAAGTTAACGCTAGAGAAATAGTTCGAGAAAAATCTTTAATCCAGATTCATTCACAGGGCACACGGATCAATAAATACACTACTGTACTTGAAAATGCATCTGGACAACCTACACTTACAATAATCAAGGGGGTCAAAATAATTCGCATTACAGAAAATTACGTAGCGGTCTTTCCCACGTACCACACAAACATACACAGGAACGTCAATAAGGGCATGAAAATCTTTCCCAGATAGCCACTATAAATTAAATCGTTGACGGAGGAGTCTAGATAGAATGAAGAAGGGAATGGCATTTTTTACCTTGAAAAAAAAAACCAGGTCCCAAATTCAGATTTTTTTTTCCATAATACAAAATATCTCAACACATACCACGGATATTTCATCAAACGGAACTTCAGTCTTTCTTTCACATCTAAGGTGGTTCTGATTATTTTTTTACCGGAACCTGTTGAAAGCTATTTCCAAGAGAAAAAGCGTACCATCTGCGTTCGGAGGAGCAACATGACTTCCGCCTGTTGGTAGTTGTACCATCAGAGTAAGCACCGCCGCCTTACCACCAAAACAAGGCTCCAAAGCGATCGGGCTCGGCTGACCCTGGAACCCCAATCATTTATGAAATCAATCACATGGATTAAAACAGCATTCGCACGAAAGCGCGATGGTGTGAATAACATGCAAATAAAGCACTTTCGTCCAACCCACGGAATCTCGCAGGAAAACAGTTAGTCCAACAAGATTGGTAAAAACGAACAAAATGTTCCGCGGGTTGCTAAATAACTGAATTTGTTTCAAAAATTTCACTAACGAGGATTCGCGGACATCCCAAGAATTTCACACCGAAATCAATTAGATAAAAAATTGAGATTTCCATTTTCTCGTCCTTCTAGCATCTGAACGCATTTATGCACCCCGTGGATTGTTCCATTGTGACTCACTGCTCAACCAAGTGTTCGATTTTCATATCCAAATCCAACGAAGGGTGGAAAACTGGATTTATTCAACAAGGAACTATTTAAAAATCGAGGTAATGGTAATTGGCCCATCAGCTTAAAAAAGAAAAAAAAGAAAATGTTTTGCCAACCTTTTACGCAGCATGCCATAAAACGAACGCTGTCATCAAAAATTGTACTATGATAGAAATATAATTTTCAAGAAGAAAATACTGTAAATGAGGTGCCTAGCTGCCTAAAATTATGCATATAATGGTGTTCATTAACCATTTCTGCGTATTTTACTGGAAGAGCTGAAGAATTATTTGATCGAGAAAAACGCTTGAAATAAAAAAATGCTTTAAACCATTTTCAGTTCTAGGACTCAAGATTATAAATCCTGACATTCTATCCGAAAAGTTTGAAAGCTGGTAACTGAGTAGAAAAAACAGATTGCTCAGATTCCGAAGAAATGTAACGTACGTGGGTCTCAGATAAATTCGCACGCAACCTTTTATTCTATAATTTGGGGTAGATTAATTAGATGCATCTTTCGTATTCAAGTAAATGGGGGTAAACCGTTTTTAAAGTTTGAGGAGAACCCGAAAAAGAAATCCAGAGTCGATCTTGAGCTAGTTTCGCAGTCGGAAAGCTAACCTTGTTCCGTCGATTGGCATTTATAGTGCAGTGACATGGGGCAGCAACACACAGGTCAGCCATATTACCGCCATTCGCCACCACAGTAACAGTCATCCCGGCGGCGCCGTCACTCTCCCCACCACCACCGCCGCCGCCACCACAACCGCACACAGTCGTCGCCCGTCGCTCCACCTCCAGCACGACTTGCGCGCACGGCCTGGACGCCATCGCCTCCATCTCAACATACAACCTCTGGCGCCGGCGGTACATGTCAAACTTTTGTTTAATCTTCCACGCCACAGCCGCCGTGGCGAGCAACGCGAGGAAACACAACGAGAATGTGACGAAGAAGTACGGCAAGTTCATACGGTGATGCTGCGAGAAGGCGACGCGGATCATGATGGGTGGCCGAAAATCGTAGACGTACACTCGGAAAGTAGTGTTGAGCGCGGGGTTGCCAAAGATGTATTTATCTGCAGCGAAGTATGCTTCGAACTTTTCGCCTGCGTTAGGGCAAGTGATGCCTTGGTGGATCATTGCCTCCGTTTCTCCGCCTGTTCCTGAAATATCGTTTTTATTTTATTTTGAATTATCCCAACATTTTGCTGGGTAAAAATAAATAAAACACTACGAATTTTTCCGACCGCGTTAATTGATCCTTGCGAAAATCTAACTGTTTTCGTCAAGAAAACTGATTCCCGTTCTTTTTCTATCACACCCTCGCAAGTTCGAAGTCCTTGATTTTAGTTTCTAGTGCACAGTTGTCGACAAAACTTCGTTTTACACTTATCTAATTCAGGATAGACGTAGATTTAGGTTATGATTTTAATTTGAATAGGTTAGGCGGGTCACATTTGGTCAGCTTCAAAATCCAGGCGACACCTGTCCGGCACTCAAAAATTTGGAGAAGTGAGGATGAAGTTTAAAAAATTGAATTTTTTTCAACTGCCACGAACTCAAGTACTGTACAGTATTTCCGTCGGAAGTTGGAACTAAAGCATTGCTGGGAAAATAAAAATGGAATATTTTGGGGAAGTCGCTATTGATGGACTCTCTCTACAACGAAATTCGGGGAGCCAGAAAAAATTCGTTGTGGAGAGAATTTCATGGTAAAGAACCGTTTGGAACAAAAAAATTACTTTAATTACATAGTACAGTACAAAGAAAATCGTTGTAGACAGGGACTACCTGCACTAATTTTTCTACTTACAGAGCAAAATGGTTCTTTCTTATGCGAAACGTGTCAAGAAATGTGTGTCAACGAAATTAAAACGCAAGAACTAAACGTACCGTCGTCGCCTGACTTGCGAAGAAAAGAAATGCTGATAGTGGCATTTTCTGAACACGAGATGAGGAACTCCGTGTCCACGTCGATCTGCGGCGGAGTGTTCATGAAGTTGATCTGAGTGAGATTCCGATCGTCCGGCTTGGACATGTTGAAGGTGAACTGATAGTCGATCGTTAATTTATCTGCGAATATCAAAAGGAAATTCGAGTAATTCATTTAAGCGAACAACTGCAGAGACTTACAGAAACACGTTCCACCGTTCAGCGGATTGCCGAAGTATTTGTTCTGATAATCACATCGGTCACACTTATCCCCTACGATTCCTTTGGTCGTACACACGCATTTTCCGGTCATTCTGTCACACCATGTTCCGTGTCCATTGCATTCGCATCCTGTTGAAAAAAAAAATTACAACCCTTTCTCCTGGGATCACCTTTCTGAAAAATAGCTTTGTTCGAAGTTCGCACGCATAATTTTGAATATCAATGTACGAATTAAGGCAGCGTTCGATAGTTCGGATTTTTGGGCAACTCACTCGAGCAATTGCCACCGTTGACAGGATTTCCGAAATAGCCCTCAATACACCGTTCACAATGATCACCGGTTGTCTGATCCTGGCAAGGCAATTGACACACGTCGGTGTTGTTGACACATGTACTATGTCCATTGCATTGACAAGCTAGAAACGAAAAACAAGTCAACATTCATCGTAATTGACAAAAGTTCCACGTAAAAACAGTTCAATCAAAACGGTTGATTTTAGATTAACAGTTTAAAATACCAAAATAAAGTACAACAACGCCCTTCTCTCAGAAACTACGCAGTAAATAAAACGTCAAAATTCAGCGGACACCCTGCGTAATCCTACCGCATCAAAGATTCAAACTTATCTTCAGTTTGAAACTGGTGAGCCTTATTAATGTAGTTAAAATTCAGTGACTCACTAATACTGTAGAACTCGATCAACAGAAAATACCGTATCCACACGAAGTGTTGATTTTTGCTGAAGCATCTCACCACTATAGATTTTGAGTCTTCGGAAAACTGGAGACAATCGTTTTAATACTAGCTTCCATAATTCGAATGGCGAACAAATCAGACTTTTCCATCATATGTTATTCAAGTAATGAAAGGCACTACCTTTTACTAGAAGCAGTGTATCAAAATGTATTCGCCTGAGGGTGCCTTCATAACCGATCTCGTCAGCACGTGCAATATTTCAAGCATTGAATCTAACTCACTTGGACATTCAGTGAAGAACCACAAACCCCGCGGGCAAATTTTCGAATAAGGGGCAGAGTTGCCACCCCGCATGCATTGGCCGAGCCCCGTCCCTGTTCCATTATCACACCATCCACACTCGGGCCATTCTTGACACTCTTCGCAAGTCGACAGGTAACGACACACGTCCTTATTCTCAGGAACTGAAAAAGAGAAAACAAGGTGAACCAAGAATATCAAACTTTTCTAAAATTTAGAACCTATTCAACAGGCGAGTTCCAAACAAGAATCGTCACTAGTTTCCTTCAAACGTCGGGATTTTTCAAGTCTGAACATTACAGTCGTACTCCAGCTTATGGACGCCAGAATTTCCAAATACTGTACTGTATAAAGGACTGAACTCAACTCCCCTGAACCAGCATCCAAAATAAAATAAAAATATTTTCTGAACATTTTGTTCTCAAAATTTCTCTGGAATTTCTGGAACAAACAGAAAAATAGGCCTCGAATACAAAATTAACTTTCGAAAAAGCATGAAAAACACACCTTTCACGGCATTGTTTGTGTCCGGAATATCTTGACCGATCCAACGTGAGGCGTAGCGTACGTCGGGGCACTCAAAATGGTGCATGGTCCAATTCATGCATTGGCCATAAGGGAATGCAGCGATATAAGCATTACTGTCCAAGCAACGACCCAAACTTGCGCACCACATGCACCTCGACTTGGTACAATTACCACAGTTAGTCCACTCGTGACAGGGCATCCCGCACATGTCATTTAAGGCAAGTCCCGGGGGAATCGTAACGACGGACCTACGAAATTCATCCGGTTTAATGCAAGAAACGCTGGAAGAATGGAAAACTCGAGGGTACATTCCTTAACTATTCCTCCTTATCATCTATCGGATTTATTTTTAGTAGACGAATTCTTTATCGATTTTGAATTGCGAATAATCTATTGAACGTCTTCCAGTAATTCAAAATAGATTAGGCTGAAATAATAGCTTTGGAAGTCCAATTAAATGCTGAAAACTGCCATTTCTATTCGCGACTTGAAAAAGCATCAGTCAAATGTTTCAAGCAACGCGGTTTTATTTACAAATGAAATAATTTTGCTTGTACTTCATGTTCAATTTTTTCGCATGAAAATTATAGCGAGCTCTTACTTAGGCAATATTGCCATTAAAATATTAACACACTTTGACGCATTATTTACAAACCCGCGGGGAACTTCAGGAGGATTTTTCCTGGCTCGGCAGACGCCGCCTTTTTCCTTGGTGATCTGCCATAAACAGGACGGGGACTTGGTGATACAAGCGTGGCAGCTTGTTCGAGAAGTGCAAGCTAACGCCGCAGACTCCGCATCCGGATTTTGGCAGCGCTCCTGTCCATGCGATTCCAACTCGTTCGTTTCCGTTGCACGCGATGGACACGCTTGGTATGAACAGAAACCCCGACTTGGCCTCACCTACGAATGAAATCATAATCTACATTTGCAAATGATTCATTCAAATTCACTCAACGAATGTACAACATCCCCGACATCCAGATCAAAAATACTAAAAATTAAGGAATTCTCAACTCCGACGGCGGCAAGGGCCTCAAGTTTCGAATATTTCGGAAAACCCCCGTAGGTTCTCCTATTTTCATACTACAGCATTTGCGCCTTTATAAATTTATAGCAAGCCGCCAAGAAATAAAAATTCACATTCACGCATTCTAAATGAAAGTACCTCGAAGTCCTCGATGTCAAGTTCACTCGCAGGGTTGGCATCTGCCCCAGCACTTTGAGCGCAATGTACACATCCCAGTGAAGTATGCATACAAGATTCGCAGTTCTTGAGCGCGGAACACACTCGCGTCATATTGATCCATGCTGGACTCGAGTCTTCTATTTTGGCGCAGAGGTTGTCGTAGCTCGGCGAACCATTGGACCGGTCGTGGCGATGGCGACGGACACGCGACGCCGTCACGCCTGACCCACTGCCACCTCCGCCGCCACCACCACCGCCGCCGTCTGTGGACACGCAACCGACACGGTTCGACTGCCAAGAACAACTCCGCCCAATGCGCCCGGAATAACAGTCCTCGCGTGTCACCACGGCTTCGCAACGACCCGGAGTGAACTTGATTACGTCGTTGTGCATGTTGCCACTGAAGCCTCCGAATAAGTACCTGAAAAAATTTAGAAAAATAACATAAGCCGTTACTTGAATATAGGGGTAAAATGTGACTGTGATTGTACAAATACATATCCCATATCCAAGATCCTTCAAAAGTTAATTGAACTCCCTGCTACGAATAAAAATAGACCGAAAAGCTCAATTAACATGCAAATTAAATTCACGCATTGAATAAATTTCAAAATTCTTGGAGCATATTAAAATATAGTCATCCTTGACACAAAACTTCAATATTAAAAAAACACGATCGCAAATTTAAAAATTTCTTAAGGCAGCTGTAAAGCAGTTGCAAGAGCTGTTTCAAATTTCAAAATACACTACTGTATATCAATGATCGGAATAATTTGAAGCGAGCAGTAAATTTGAATGTTTGCAACAAAATTTAAAAATAGATCAAATAATTTTGTTCGACTGATGCTCAGGGAAGATAAGTCTTCAATAAAATAATTTCGGAAGGAAGGCGTAAGAATTAAACATAACTTACATGGACCCGTTGAATACGCTCGCAGAATGGCCAAATCTTGCAAGGGCTCCACCAGGATGCTTGTAAGCTGCTCGAGTATCCAATGTAGTCCAGCGATCGCATTTCGGATCGTAAACGAGCGCATGGCCAGAGTAACATTTGGCACCATGGCTGGTGTCAGTGTCGTTATGAACATTTCCTCCGACCACAAGCATGGCGCCATTCAAAAGGACAGCGGAATGAAGATAACGAGGATACCCGCTTGGTTTTTTGATTGTCCTGAAATAGAAAACACGAAATCGAATTCACAAAGAATGTCTTCTGTGCAATCCCCACCACCTTCCCGAAATAAAAGTCGGATTGTGAATTCAAGACACTAAGAAACGTGCTCTTCCACATGCCAGAAACAAAAACTTACAGGAAGGGGATAAAAATGTCAACAATTGTAAATTAAAAACATTATTTCATACACAGAGTCATTCAATAAAATTCTTTACAAAATAAGTATATACTCAAATTTCCTCTGCAGTAAAATCAACTTCATACGCAATTTTATCCCAAAAAAATTATTTAGAAAACTTGAGCACGAAAAAACAAATTCTGGGTGACTACTCATCGAGGCAGCTTCAATTTCCCAAGTTTCCGCACTTCATAAAGGTCAAAATTTCAACTGAATAACAAACAGATTTTTAATCAGCTTCGGTAAAAACATTCTCACTGATTTGATGAAAAACATGAATTTTATTTTCACTACGATAAATTAAATTATGAAGGAAGAAATTATGACATAAAATAAAGTATATAGAAAAAATATCTTTCAAAAAGGAGAAAAAATTATGATACCGTTTTTATCAACAAAAATGCTTTAAAATAAAATAATGCAATAATCCTTTTCTTTCAAGTTAGCGTCTCACAGATTGAGATTTGGATAAACTCACCATTCCTTCAAAGCGTGGTTATATTGAAGCAAGGCGTCAGAAACAGATCCAATCGACGCTGAACTTCCGTAAGCACCTCCCGAAGACGTGATGTGTCCCCCGTGAACATACACCAAGCCATTCTCAGAATCATAAACGCTAGTTGCGCCATAACCTCCAGATACAAGCGCACCACGTGTTTCTACCAAGCTCCATCTCGCAGATCCAAAATGATACACCTGAGCATAGAATGTTTTTTTTTAATAACATCATAAATGCTTCATTATTTCTTGGGAAAGAAATACAGTAAAATAATGCTATCAAGAGAAAGAATTCTAGACGAACTAGAGAAAATTTCAAAAATGATACAATATATCATTCCTTCAATTGATTAAAAATAACCTATCTTATTTGCTTCCAGTTCTTCTTCACTAACCTGGACGTTGTTCAAATATCCGAACACAGGACTATGACCGAAGAAAACTAGCATGACTTCAAAATCGGGGATCGTTACTGCAGTGTGACCGACAACCGGAAGAGGGCCACACAGTCCGGAACATTCGCCGATCAAAACCTGCACTCGTTCCCAGTCTCGAGAAGTCGAATCAAACGTCCACAATGCATCTACAACGCTGCCATCTTCCAACATACCACCATACACGTAGATTTTGTCCTGCAAAAAAATAAAAGAAAAATTCCTTATACCCCAATGAGTCAAGAAATATTAATCAAACGGATATCGGCGTAAGATGAGGAAGACATTAGAGGAACGCTCAAAAATGTACGTCTTTTAACGTCTACAAATGATTTAGAAAATTGCTGTCCGTGCATTTTATACTGTTGCTCCATCCACTTTCTCAAAATAAATACGAGTATCTTACCCCGTGCATAACTGCAGTATGGCCATATCTCCAAGTGGGTCTTTCTTTGACTGAGTGAACGGTTTCCCACACCTTCCCTGTTAAATCAAACCTAACGATGAACTGTGGATTGACGTCCACGTTGTCATCTTTGAAATCTTCTCCACCTACGCAAAAATGCCACAATCAGAAATAGCTGCTAATAAAATTGGTTTTACAATCTTTTACCGATGATGTACAGCGAGTCACCATAAACTACCGCCGAATGCGACGCTCTTCCGGACGGAAGGAAAGAACCAGTACCTTCCCATTCCCACACGCCGTCATCTTCATGCTGGGAGCAATCATGTCCTGTTGGTTTCATCAACAGTTATTTGTGCTCGAAGTAAAATGATACACGTGATAAAAAAATTTCGAAACGAACCCTTGTAGCCTTGATCACAAATACAGATTTGACGCTCCTCATCACAAGTCCCATGTTGAGAACAACTATTCGGGCAGATTTGGTAATCGCAGGCAGCGCCTTTGTACCCAGCATCACAAGTACAAGTTCCCTTCACGCAAGCTCCTCGTCCAGAGCAGTTTTTGTTCGAAATGCCTCTTGGACATGCATTTAGGCTGCGAAGAAGCACATAAATTAGGCAATGCATTCTTCCGTAAACCAAGAAAAATATATACTGCGAACCTGTACGAAATGTTGAATCCAGTGAGATTGTACGCAACATCCGAATAAAAATGGACAAAAGCAAACCCCGACTTGGTAACAAACTCCGGCATCTTTCTAGGATCGTCGGATTCATCTTGATTCACCAGCAATCCACTAAAAATTAGAAACACTTCACAATTCCGCTCACCCGAACGAAGCCTCAAAAGCTTACCTGAAAACTCCTACAAGCTCCGAGTTCACGCCGTCCCCATCAAAAACGTACACGTGATCCCAACAACACTCAGTTTCGAAGTGCTGAAATCGCAGAAGTATCACGTTTCCAGGGCCACCACCATCAATCAACCACGAGCATCTTTGATTGAAAGTGTAATTTCCGAAACCGTGCGTGATGACGCCAGAATCTGCAGTCAATCTGAAAGTTTAAAATACAACACGTGAATGGAAATCCTTACGTGCTTCAATATCAAAAGCTGTAACCCCAATATTACATTGTGAACGTTCTATCAGTAAAAAATATGAGTTACCTTGTTCTTCCGTGGCACGACCCGCACGAATCTCCGCGCCATCCCGCACGGCACGAACAGGTTCCGTTCAGAACATCTCCATTGTAACAGTCTTTCTCGGATGGAGCAGGTTGGGCAATAGTTAGCGCAGAACGCTTCTCTCGCAGGAATTCGCTATCGCTCGCAGAGCTTCCTAAGAAAACAAGTGCCGCGAATATCGTCAAGTTGACGATACGTAGCAATAAAGGCTGGAAAGAGGCAGCGCGATGTCCTGTCATTGGAATGCTCAGTATGAACACCGGACTCCAGGAACATACACCGTTCCCGAGGGAGCGGCATCAGAGTCTTCAATTGAGCCTGAAATGTAGAATGATTTAGCCTTTAGCTCAGGAACTTTTCCGGAAGCACACCATAGATTTCCATAACACACAACCCATGCTCGACTGGGCGTTTCGACCAGCATGATCCCGAGAACTGCTCGAAGCCAGACATGGCACATGCCCGCACACAGCATATTTTCATGTAGGTGTCGCTGCCTAGTCCACTTTACGAAGCCCTGTACGTGTGTGTCGTAACTCGTAAGCGACGTCGAGGACCATCAGCATCAAAAGAGAAGCTTTCAAAGTGGTCTTGTTTCGAAATTCTTCCAGCAGAAGTTCTGCTCACAACCCGCCTCGTCAACGCATATACAGTATATTTTTGGCGACGATTGCAGCAGTCTAAATTGAGGTAAAGTTCGTTGTTCAAGGACCAACCCATCAATTGACTAGCTTATTTGCCTCACAAGTCACAATACAGTACAGTACTGTATTTGACTTGAATGGGTTTTGTGGATATTACGGTAATCGATTTGAACTTTTACGCTGATCCACGAGCGCCAGTAGGAAATTCATCGCGAGAGTTTCGATTAGGTAAATTCATTCTTGCGAAATCATTTCCCCATCATTCGGACTTCGAATGCCAAATCTTTCGAATGCCAAATCTTCCGTGAAACTCCTCACAAGAGGTGGCGGTATTTTTGAAACTTAGCGAAGATCTAAGATATCTTCCGAAATCTGATCCCGATCCCACGTCAGAAACGGTGAGGCACATTCTCGCCGGAGCCGGATCAGTGCGGCAGTCTTGAGGAGTGGGGACGCGGGGGGTAGGGGAGTGCGGGCCGTGGGTTGTGAGAGAGAGGACGCCAACACGTACTCACTGAAGTTCTTAGCCCTTATGTAGGGAATACGTCCTTAGTCTGTAGCAAGTATACCAACTATAGAAATTAACTAATAGTACAAAGAAAAAATTATTTGTCCATATATTTGTAAAATGATAAGATGGTAAAATGATGATAAGATGGTAAAGAATGTAAAATGATGTTCTGTAGGTTTCCCAAATGTGAAACATAAATGTGGTTTGAACTTGGAGCAAGGCATTGTAGCTTTGGAAGTGCTTAAAAATCAGGTTTAATGGGTTGAGATGGACAAGAGTGTGCAGCAATAGCAGCTATAGGCTTTAAAAATTTAGTATTGAGGAGACATTATCAATTATATGGCACTGCCTGTATTATTGAAAGGATAGAAGTTCTTAAGACTATTGTTTGAACAAAAAGCCAATAATAGGAATGTTAAAAAGAATACATTTTGACTCATGCAACATTCCACCACACATCATTTATAATCCTTATAAATTAAGAGTGAAGGTAGTCCTGTGGATGATAGTCTCCATCGTATGGAGACTATATCAATACACAGGACCTTCAATCAATTAAATAAGTTCTTACGTAACACTTTCCCACACTCGAGGTCCAATTATTCGTTATCCATCATATTGTTTTGCAGGGGTTTTTGAAATGCAGAATCTCCGCTGATGTTGTTGTTCCTCTTGTTCTTAGATGCACAGAAGCTTCATATGCAAGATCAACTACCTTGCCTCTATGGTCTCAGTCACTGCATAATTTGTCACACCCGCATTTTTTGCTGTGAGGGGCGCTGTACTTCCTTACAAATTGCCAGCCTCTATATAAATAGAAAAAAGTGGTCAGCAGTTTCTGAAGACAATATGTGGGCCAGTTTCAAGGTACATTATTAAATCTTTGCTAAATTGTGCAATACATGTATATATATATATATATATCCCTGAATGAAAAAATGAAGAATATTCATGAAAATTACAAAAAATCTTGATTGGTTTCAAAGGTCTGTAAGTTTGCACTTCAATGTTTTGTTTTTCAACTTATTATAATTCTGACATATAATTATTTTAATATTCAGATGTTTCTCCAGAAATTAAACAATATTTTGATCCCCCCTGCTTTCTCTCAACAATTGCAATTTATGATTCCCTGTTGCTCTGCTTTGATAATAAATTTGCTTCATGAATGAAATCATATACCACTCAATTAATACTATACAGTATATAAATATATATATATATATATATATATATATATATGTACGCATGTCATCAACATGATCTCCAAGATCTCTAATGAAAATTCGACAAAAATTCATCAAAGGACCAATGTATGTCACATAATCAGCAGCCAGAATGCATATAAAATAAAATAAAATCAAGCAATCTAAACACATCACTCAAGGAAATGATACATGAATGCTCCAAAGATGAAGCTAATTTAATTATTAAGACTTATATTCAAAGGTAATCCTCCCAGGTATGCACCCAATGATCTAGCTTCTATTTCATCAACAATGGCTTTCATGCATGCATTTGCATCTTTAATACACGCAATTTTTTACCAGCAAAGCATTGCAATTGAAGTCACTCAATGAAAGCAGCTGATGGCTTTGGGTGAGACTGGCACTCCTGGCAGTGGCGTGAAAGATGTAGTTGTGAATAGAGGAGCGGCGTTGAAGGAAAGTAGTACCATAATGTCGCGTCACAACCGGGCAGAATCAAACCCCCATGGAACCAGCAAATTTCTTGCACCCTGCTGCAACACTCAACGGTAGATACGTCCCAAAACGTTTGAACTCTTTGTATAACCACTTAACTTGTGTAAAACTCTAATTGTTGTAAAATTTTTGACCGGTGAACAAACTAAAAGAACGGTATTCGTTATTAAATTGTGCATACCTGGAAAGCTCTGAAGATTCTTCCTCAAATTCATGGTAAGAAACTTTGGAAAGCATTTAATTTTTTGATAACTTTCATGCTTTCATGAATGCACATACTCAGACAATTATACATATCAATGACATAAAATAGTTCCACGAAGATAATCACTTTGACCAAAAAATTTGAACTGAACAGTTTGTCCGGAGTAGTGTAGGTCAGTGCGGATGTTGGACTCCAGGACTCGTTGGAGTCGTAATAAAAGTTTGGTATATTCTAAAAGGTCTGCACATTTGAAAAATGATGTTTGCAGAAGCAGAATTTTTAATTTTCATTGAGAGACAGTTTACAGGAAAAAAGTCAAGTTTTCTTTATTAAAAGAAACCTTACTAGACCTAATGTCGCAGTAGTCCTGTGACACCACTCACTGCAATGTAAACTCAAACCCTCAAGTCTGTCACTAGTGTGCGTAAACGAGAGAGTGATGAGGATAGGGAGTGAGAGGATGGGGGGTGCAGTGGCGCGGAATACGGCTGGCGTGGCTTCCTTCTCCGGCGAGAAACTACACCACCGTCTAAATTGAGGTAAAGTTCGTTGTTCAAGGACCAACCCATCAATTGACTAGCTTATTTGCCTCACAAGTCACAATACAGTACAGTACTGTATTTGACTTGAATGGGTTTTGTGGATATTACGGTACTGTACTCCAATACATCACATGAATTAAAGCAGCACAGCGTTTCTCGAAGTCCAAGTCACAACTGGCATTACAGTGCTTACAGCAGGAACATGTTATTCACTTCAAATTTAACTTTTCTCAACAATTTATTCGAAGTGAAATGCATTAAGTCATTCCGAACGGCCTTCGAGGGGCCAAGACCGTGGGATATGTTAACTTCGAGTGAGAAAATGGAATGGGGAATTACTTGCTTCACCAATAACAACCGCAAAATATAAAATCTTTTAATTGCAGGGCATTTCATGTAAAGCAGATTTGATCCAGCATAAATTATCTCTTCTTCCGGGGGGAATTGCAGGAATTCAATGTGATGTGGGGAATATCTAAGTGTCCCCTTCGCCAGTATTAACACAACAAATTGGTTCATTAATACAGATTGCACAACCTTACAGTCTTCGCAATAAATCCTTCAACGCCATCCATCTCCTCAATAGTCATCCATTGATTTCTCCTTATGAGGTTTGGATTACTCAGGAGTTAGAAACTCATGATTCTTCCGTTTTACCAGCAGGTTTAAATCTTGGCTAAAATTGAATGAATATATACGGACTTCGCATAAAAAATGACCAAAAGAAGGGAAACGTTATCTTGCACTTTCAAACTACAATTCCCCATAACCTGTCGAAATGTGTTCAACAATCCAACGATTTACAGTAAAATTTGTATCAACACCAATAAATTGTTGGCAGATAATTTTCTCAAGCATGAATCATCTTAAAATTGCCACCAATAACAACCGCAAAATATAAAATCTTTTAATTGCAGGGCATTTCATGTAAAGCAGATTTGATCCAGCATAAATTATCTCTTCTTCCGGGGGGAATTGCAGGAATTCAATGTGATGTGGGGAATACCTAAGTGTCCCCTTCGCCAGTATTAACACAACAAATTGGTTCATTAATACAGATTGCACAACCTTACAGTCTTCGCAATAAATGCTTCAACGCCATCCATCTCCTCAATAGTCATCCATTGATTTCTCCTTATGATGTTTGGATTACTCAGGAGTTAGAAACTCATGATTCTTCCGTTCTACCAGCAGGTTTAAATCTTGGCTAAAATTGAATGAATATATACGGACTTCGCATAAAAAATGACCAAAAGAAGGGAAACGTTATCTTGCACTTTCAAACTACAATTCCCCATAACCTGTCGAAATGTGTTCAACAATCCAACGATTTACAGTAAAATTTGTATCAACACCAATAAATTGTTGGCAGATAATTTTCTCAAGCATGAATCATCTTAAAATTGCCAAAAATGTAGAAAATCAAATCTCAAATTCCAGATATACTTCTTGGTATTCATTTCCCATCACATACGAGGAATAGCATTCAATGGAACAGTTGACAACCCACAGATCATAAAAACCTGTTTTTCCCCTTCTTCAAACTTCGAACAAAGAAAAAAAATACAAGGGAAATATTTAAATAAGGCCATGAAGAAAAATCTTGCGCAGGAAAAATAAAATGTGAGAAGTGAGTTCAATCCGGAGCACGGTAAATACAGCACACTTTCGAATTTTTGTATGAATATTCAAAGCAACCCTCTGAATCACAGGTCTTCAAAAATCAAGTCCTCCACATGTATCGTTCCCAATCCTCGAAAATAAATTTCTATTCATTTCTACAGTATTCCCTTATGCAATGCATTCAAGAGTTCCTTCTTGCACTCAGTACTATAAAATCATATTACGTCCATCATTAACTCCTCGGGGACCTGTAATGAAAATGCTTTCTTTCTCCAACCCAAAGAAAATTTTTTTTAACATATGACAATCAAAAAATTGAAGCGGGAATTTAACGCAGTGATAATAGTCTTACACATTTGTAATGCGTCACGGAAAACAGGTGAAGGAAGGACTAAACCTCTAGCTCAGGGAAACGCAGAATGAATAGACGCAGCATGGTTTCACTTCATGAGGGTGGAGATCACTGCTTTGGCATCCAAATTTCTCAAATCAGAGTAAGTTTGCCCGGTGCCCACAAACACGATTGGTTGTCCAGTGATGTAAGACATAGAAATTGCAGCGCCAACCTTGTCATCAATTGTATCAAACTTGGTAAGAACAATTCCATCGATTAAATGAGGGTTTTCGGTGGTAGAATTATCCGCAAGGGCTTGGTTAAATTTCACCAGTTGGTCTACTGCTTCATTTCCAACCAAAGCTTCTCCAACAAAGAGAACCAAATCCGGTTCATTCACAACAATCAACTTAGCAAGTGCTCGCATGAGAGGCTCATTATCCTGCATTCTTCCTGCGGTGTCCACAAGAACCACGTCGATTCTGGCTTCCTGGGCATAATGAATAGCTTCCATGGCGATTCCGGCAGCATCTTTGCCGTAACCCTTTTCATAGAGTTGTACCATCTGCCTTCCATCGTGTTTCTCTGGAGGATGCAATGCGTTCAAATGCTTCGTGTGAGTCCGAAGCTGTTCAACAGCTCCAGCACGGAATGTGTCGCAAGCAGCAATCAAGACGCGAACGTTGTTTTCAATCAGCCAAAAGCAGATTTTGGCCAAGTTGGTGCTTTTCCCGACACCGTTCACACCACAGAAAGCCATTACGTAAGGACGAGCAGCCCGTTTGGCTTCAAAAACGTCACGCAGAATGTCAATTCGACGCTTGGGAGACAGAATTTGAACCAAGGCGTCACTCAGTGTGGTTTTTATGGTTGACGCGAGCCCTTCAAACGTGCCCAGGACTTTTCCATCCAGCTTGACAGCGACGGATTCGCAGAGCTTTTCCGAAATATCCGCAGCGACGTTCTTCGACATCATGAGTTCTTTCAGCTTCTCTAGATGCGGTTGCATCGTCGCTCGCGTGAGAGTTTTTGAGCCCACGAGTCCCGAGAAGATGGAGAAAAGAGACTTGCTGGACTGCTTCACATTTTCTCGTTCAGCCCGACGTTCCCTGATGGCTTCTTCGAATTCTTCGTCCGCAATGTTATCCTCATCATCATCAGAAGAATCAGCGACTTCCAAGCCCTTCAGATTACCAGACATCGTCCCGACGTAAGAGCGATCGTAATTTTCCGCGCGGCGATCTTCCAAATCTTCCGGGATATCTTTGGAATAATCCAATTCTCCGCCGCCATTTGCATTAGCGCCGCCATAGGCAACGTCCCAGACGCGCTTCTCCTTGCTCTTCTTCGATTTTTCTGGTTGCTTCGGACTTTTCGGTTGTTTTTCTTTTGAAACTTTGCCAGCAAATAGTTTCTTACGATTCTTCACCACCATGTCCTCTTCGGGCTCAGCCGCTTGCTGCTGAAGCTCTTTCTTCTGTTCTTCGATTTTCCTCGCGGTCTCCTCCTCTAACTTCTTCTGTTGCTCGAGTTCTTTCGCGGCTTTGACGGTCATCACCAACGGCGCTTTCTGCTTAGCTTTCTCAGATTCTTTGTAAGATTTCATGGGACGACTGCTTTTCGTTTCTTCTTTAGTGCGCTCCTCGACATCCTTCAAGATAAACTGAAATTCTTTTTGAAAATCAAAGCCGCTCAATGCACGATTTTGCAGTTGGTTCAAGAACTTGTCGCGGAATTCAAGCTGGATGTCATCCAGGAATTTATCCACGTACGATAATTGCAGGAACTTCTGATAGGCAACGATGAAAACCAACTCGAATTCATTGTCGAGTTTATATTGTAAGCGTAACCCTTGATGCTCCAAGGCTTGTTTGTCCGTGCGCTCTTGCAACAAGACGGTCTTGACGAAGTTATTTACAATCGTAGCAAACTGCGTCGTATGGTTGGCATTTGAAAGGTTGTTGAAGCAGAACAACACGATCCCGCCTTTTGTGAAGATGGAGAATATGTCCAACATGACGGAGAGAAATTTCGCGCGCACAAAAATATGATCTCGCAAACCCTGAATAGAAGTCGGCAAAAACCAAAATTTGGAAACGATACAACAGCGGACACCCTCCAATTACGAAGACGTAAATCAGGCAAAAAATCAACAAAAAGGTAGGCGAACTGGATTGGAACACAACCCGTACATTTGAACAGCTCCAGCACAGAGTTTCATAATTTGTAATACCAATGGTTACATTTTTCAAAATCCTGACCATGAAATACCGATTATTGACTAGTTGGGTAATGCCTATATTAAAAGGAACACCACAAAACCAGAATGCAATTCGCGGAACACCGCTCAAAATACACCATGAAATCGCACATCACCCGCGATTTGAGACGCGTGACTTAGTTATTTCTTTGTCTGAACCTGCAGAAGGAGAAAAAGAAAATTAACCGGATTAAATGCTTCCCGGTAAGGAAAGAATGGAAATTCGAATACAGTAGTTCAATCAATCGATACGTTCTTTCCCTCAAGAATCTGCATTAATCGCATTGTTTGTAACAACATTTCAATTCTGGCGAGCGATTAATCTTCAGGGACGATGGTGGTCTTCTCCGACACGTACAGCCCATCCAAAAATTTTCGGATATCCTTGTTTTTCACCGTTGTCGATTGCTGGATCAAGGCCGCTGAAATCACGAAAAAAATAGAATGAAACAATAAATTTCTGAACGAGTTCATGATTTCCTAAGATTGAGTGGTAATAATTCAAGCGCCCGGAATGTATATCACAGCGCATTTCATGAGCGGATCAGCCGTTCCGAACCATTAAAGAAAAACCACATGATCTTGTTCACGTGCCGTATTGGACTTGGAAAATGATTAGCTATAATACAGCTATTCCTAGCTAATCTTTCGAAGGCCTGGAACAGATCAGTCAATCACAATTTTTCAAACTTGATCAATACACCACGATATACAATATACTCTTGGAACATTCCATTACCCTGACAAACGCTCGGGTGTCGGACTTTGCGCCGTAAAATGATCAGATTTCACTTACCAGATCGTGACACGTCCTCCAGACTGTTACCTTCGACGATCAACTCATCCTTCTGGTCGGCAGAGTTCGTGACAGTCACTCCTGGTGCCATCTTAACATGGCGCACGAACTTTTCCCCCAAAAAGTTACGAATATCAATAACGGTGTTATTTTCCGTTGTCGCGCAATTAATGGGGAAATGGGCATACACGGCCCTCATCTTGTACCGGAATCCCTGATAATAGAGAAGATTCATCATTCAAGAGCTCGAACCTCGATTGGAGAGAATTTTGATGGCAAGCTAACCTTCGTGACACCTTTGATCATGTTCTTGATGTGAGAACAGATGGTTCTCACGGTGGCGGTCTCTTTCTTGGTACCAAACCATTTGTCAACCTTCACTTCCTTTTTATTCGGCATCTGGAAGAATAATAAATAAAACAATCGTAAACGTACTGTTTTACGGTGCATTGACAAAGATTGTTGAACATTTGTCAGGCTACCTAAACATTTTAAAATCTTTGTTCATTTCACGACTATCTCAAGTGTGGCAAAGATGGACTAATTTTTAGCATCCTGCAACAGGGGTGGAGAACTCTGGCTGTAACTTGAAAGTTTGCAATTACTGTACTGTATTGTCATGCTGTGAAATGAAAATGAATTAAAAAATTCTTTTAAAAAATCTCAGAATTTAGAACATTATGTGCCATTTCACAACTTATTTTAAATCACAACGATTATAAAATATCAGAGGCCGCATCTAACTGGGAGAACACTCTTACATTATTCCTAGAGACCACATTGTTCTCAAGCTGACATCCCAAAACGAGTAACATTCACGAGGAAATAATTTCCTACGCTGGTGCGAAAATTATTCACCCGAATATCCCAACTTCGCAGGAAAAAAATAAAACTCACGTGAATGTGGAGATGAGTGTGACGGAAGGAGCGCTTCAGCACGCCACGGGGTCCTTTCACAGTCACATAACGACTCTTCACTTTTACGGTGACATTATCCGGCACCTTCACCGACTGTGTGGTGATGATCTGTCTCATCTTAGCTTGAAGTTCGCCACGCGCGAAACGCACAAACAAATAACTGCTTTCAAGATAAGACACGATACTTATGAAAATGTGTAGATAATTTAAGCAAAATTGAGTTCAAATATCGTGAGGAACAATAGAAAACACACCAATGAACCCGCGGTATGTTGAGCCTATGAAACGAACGGGAAAAAACGTAAATCCTCACACGAAAAAAAAAAAGAGAAATATAACGCTAACAGAGCAACGACACGTATTAGAGACCAAATCACTGTTTAATTAAAGGATCATTGTACACGACTTCATGAACTAACATTCAAAACTCGGCTAACAAGGCTGATTGCACTCTCGAAACATTCCTGCTAATTCATGATTGGTTGAACCGTCCTTTCACGTCATCCCAAAGTTTCTGAAAAAGATAACCATGATGGAAATTAAAATAGAAAATTATAGCATTTTCTAGAAACTTACGCCTTCATTGATGGTGCGAAAGACTTTGTCGCACCCTAAATCAACACCTCTTTCGAAGAAAACCGCGGCTACAACAACAGCCAAGGTGAAGGTTGAGGTCCGCTTGAACACGGAGTTGTAGATGGTACTACTTAATCCCATTTTTACAGGAAGGTAACAGCCACGCTGACACAATTTTTCCTGGACAACACGAGGAAGAGTCGGAATTAAACTTTACAGAGAAAAAGATCGGAATATACAAGGAATTGAAGCATAAAATGAGGCGCACAAATGTCAACAGGAATTAAGTTTTATTCCTCGCTTGTTTTCACCAACTCTCAAATCCACGTTCCATTTCACCGCGGCAGAGTGAGGCCTTAGAATCCCTTGGCGGCCAACCGACGGTCTCGTTCTTCGGCGATCGTGAGACGGACGCCCTTGCCAGGCGGCAGGGAAATCCAGGGCTTCGAGGCCTTGCCAATCACGAACACGTAGTTCAATCTGAGAAGAAAATTCAACGAATGTATTCCCATGGGCAAATTCAAAAGCCAAAAAATTGACTAGAAGAAAAAACGAAGCAACCTAGGCGCACTTACCGAGTCGCGAAAGTCTTCCCCGTCGCGTCCTTGACATGCACAATATCAAAAGAACCCGGGTGACGTTCTCGGCTAGCGATGACACCAACTCGACCCAAGTTGTGACCACCGGTGATCATGCACATGTTTCCTGAAAAATAAAATTTGAAAAATATTTGAGCGAACATTCAAGAGGATCGAAGACAAACTATTCTTCGTAAATTGGAATTTGAAATACAGTACTGTAGTTTTCATCTATACCTGTCTATACCAACAAGGGAATTATGAGAGCTTCTCTGTAACAATGTAAAAAGCAAGAGGTGTTTTGCATTCCTTTAGTTTGTAGGAATTAGAGATCAAGAAAACACGATCAACAAATATTGCCTCACCAGTTTCAAATTTGAGAACATCCATAATTTTAACGTTCTCAATATCGAGTTGAACGGTGTCGTTGACCTTGACAATTGGGTCCGGGTACCGGATGGTTCGGCCATCGTGAGTCACGCAGAAAGGAATTCCCTTGGGACCTAACTGTACGCGCTTGATGCGGCACAGCTTATACTTGGCCTCTTCCTTGGTGATTCTGTGTGGTTTGAATCGGCCTTTCACGTCATACAGAAGACGGAAATATTCGTTCGTGCTCTCAATTGCGATGACGTCTGGCGATAAAAATACAGAAAAAATATTAACGAAACACAAACATACTGTATTTCCTGATAATTTCCCACACCGCAAATATCAATATTCGCACCGAACGCGGTTGAGAGTGCAGTTCTTACGAGAATTAATATGTGGGAAGTTCTTTTCAAGCAATTGGCTGAGCATAACCACCGTTCACTGATTTGTAACATCGCAATAAGTTTCTCGAATTTGGTTGGAAGTTGACCTCATTGAGCAAAACGGTTTCGCCATGGAAATGCAACTAATCGACATCATCGATAGCCATACCGCAATTATTTTTCCACGCAATATATCGACCATTAGCCATTTAAAAAAAATCCGCAAGACGCAGTAGGAGAGATTGTGTTGAACAATTCGGCATTCGTTCTTCTCAATTTTCTGAGACATAAAACTTCGTAGACGCATCAATGGAAAACTAATTTGAATGATGACAAAGAATGTAGCGAGATGCAAGCCGAACTTACCCATGAAACCGGCTGGGAAGTTGGTGTCAGTTCGGACTTTGCCGTCCACCTTAACGAGGCGTTGCATAAGGATTTTCTTTACCTCGGCTCCAGTAAGAGCATACTTGAGCCGGTTATGAAGGAAGATGGTGAGCGGCAAAGACTCTCGCAACTTGTGCGGCCCACAGCTCGGACGAGGAGCGAACACTCCTCCAAGTTTGTCCAACATCCATTGTTTCGGGGCGTTCAAACGCTTTAGATGCTTCTTCGGTCCTCGTGCCATGATTTACAGGAGCGCGAATCAAACACTGGTGCTATAATCTGAAACCTAATGAAAAAAATGATCAATTGGGAGTTAGAACAGCAAATAATCAAGTGTTAAGCGAGACTAAAATGCAGAAGCATGGACGGGAAACTTTCCGATTTCAATCGTTACGCAAATTGTCATGTTTTTCACCACTTCTCATATCAATCACCTGTAAAGAGAAAAATACATCAGAACGTTGAGTTTAAATCCGAGGATGAATGTGTGAAAGCCCTCATAAGATGGAACACACAAGGATCAAATTCATTTTTAATTGAACGACGTGTAACTATGCAATCTAGAAAACCCGCAACTAAACACAGGGGTCGAATGAATATCACTGGCGGGTAACACTGATCAAGGCAATCTTGACTTGATCTTGTGTCATTTTGTCCACCACAACCACCTTCTCCTTCCCTCGATCTGGAATATTCCAAAATTCGAACACACGTATCTTATCAAATGGTGGTTATGAAAAATTGATATTTGTCGAAGGCTTACCAAATCGGGCCCAAATCTTTGGGACGACGCCTGAACATTCTCGAACAAGAATAGGAAAATTCGGATTAGCTTTCTTGATTCCGACGTAGTCCTTCGTCAAAAAATCTCTGTTGAAAACAAGTCAGATTATGTAAAGAAATTTTCGGTCAAGTAATTCAAATCAACTCACCGCACACCTTTGCTGCCTTCACACTTCTGGCACAAGTGAATCCGTACTTCCCTCACGGCACCACCAAATTTCACTCCTGCCGACGCCATGTCGACTCACCCTTCGAAATAATTCAACCATATCGCAAAGCATTGATTCATATTCACACGAAGTTTGTCGGAACTAATTTGGCAAGAAACGGTCGATTGCTTCTAAAATAGCCGGTTATGGCGGCAATCTCAATCGCCAGAGCGGGAATTGGATGAGCTGAATTTTGTTCGACCACTTTCTCACCTCAACTTTTTTCAATAAAATAGACAAAATAATACGAACAAACATGTCTCGTTGCTTTCAATGAAAATGACTGAACAAAACGGGAAAGCAATTTTTCACAAATTCAAAAAGCTTGTTCATACGTAGATCTCCACTACGCATTACGGTCTCGTATAAACTTTCTCCTCTCCGGAGATTAGTCGTCGTCGTCGTAATAGTTATCCAGTCCCATCTCTGAAAGCTTTTCACGGAAGAATTCCTCCATTTTTTCCCCGCACCTTAAAATCGAAAACCATCACGAACTGACATCAAGTATGAGAAATTTCTAACATACTCGAAAACTACTGAATCAGATGGATTGTACAATCGACAGTTATCGAAAATAAGTCGAACGTCCTCGAGAAAATCTTGATTCACCAAATACTTGTTGTCGTCAAGTTTTCCTTTCATCGTGCCGAAGTCCATCGGACGTTTGATTACATCATAGTAATCGGGAACCTAAGAATTTTCCGAAATCGGGAGATCAGCGAACTTCCTCAATAACAGACAAAAGTCGATATGTGGAGATCAACTATACGTACGTCAGATTTCTTTACAGGTCTCATAAACGGCCAGGCATCTTCGTGACGTATCAAATCTTTCCACAATCTGGTCATCGCCGACATGTCGAAATCCACATCATCGCGAAGAGTCAACGAAACGGCGCCATTTTGCCGACGACCTTCAACAGGATCAACAGAAAATATCTCAAGCCCAGGAAAGGAACAAAAATACATGTTAATCGTTGAAAGAAAGAGTCTGAAGAAGCATTACCTGTTCGACTGCTTCCCTGATGCGACAATTCATCATCGTCAGTTCCACTTTCGTCCTGATCGTAGTCGTCATCATCCTCATAATAGTAGGAGTCAATCCGTTTGTTCTTCCGACGGGGTGAAATATCCTCAGCATACGAATGTTTCCGAGAGGCACTCGGACGTTCAGCTGTTGACATGCGCAAAACGCAAAATATTTATTTTTACGCTCTACATCCATCCTTGAAAATGTTCATAGCACAAGGTTGCCTTATTCATCTACTTGAGAGAAAGAAGAACAAATCCCCATACCTTTCGCTTTGCAAATATGACAAAACCAAGAATGTCTGGGAAGTCGTCGAAGCGGCGGTTGAGCACATTCTAAGTGATATTCTCGATCACATTCTTCACTAGCGCATTGAACTAGTTCTCCGGGTTTAGCACAAAAATGACAATTTGGTGCGCTCCTAAGGAAAAACACGAAGACCGCTCTCGATTAAATTCGAAAAACGAGCGTAAAAAATGAGGCCGTCGTTACGCACAGGTTTTCTTTGTCGTCTTCTTCTTCTTCTTCCTCTTCACAGTCGCCTTCAAGCTCTTCAGCGCTATCATCCAATCCAATCGTCTCGCTTTTGCTTTCCTCTTCGTCGGCTTCAGTTTCCGATTCGTGAGTCACAACTTTCTCTTGAGCATGAAGCGGCTGGCATATCCTACAATACCACACGCTTCCAGGAAAATCCTGAATAAAAAGGATAAAGCCGTAAGAACAGTACAAAGAAAATATGAGTACAGTACTGTATGCAGTCTATGTACAGTAATTTTGGGTCCATCAATTAAGTTAAGGCCAATACAGGTGGACCCTCTACAAAGATTTCGTCTATAACGATTTTCTCTACATAATGTTTTTGTAATCTCAAGGGATTCTTTCGTATGATAACGTTAAAAATTGAAAAACCGAATCTTACGTCTGAACATGATCAAAAATTTCCGTCGCAGAAAAACATTTAAAATATGGAACTCACTCTCATCGGGGGCCTCAAACAGTAAGTATGATAACCAGCATTACAATCGTCGCAAATTATCAAAGATCCATCGCCCATTTTCCTGCACACGCCGCACTTCATTTTCAGCACAGATCGTGACCACAAGACGGCGTCATCTGAAAAAAAAGAAATGGAATACAAATCTACAATAACTCATCAAAATCCAAATAATTCGTCAGACTTACAAATCACATGAAGATGAACAAACAGCTGAGAATAAGAAGTGACGTGCTGCAGCGACTTCTCCCACCGATATATTTTTGGTTCGCTTTGGGGGTTATCCTTCGGCGGTGCAGCCCTGGCGCCGGATTTTTTCCGCTCCATCACTTTGCCAAACGGATACCTCATATGGTTGCAATTTATACCTTGTTCTACTTGAAGCAAGGCTGCTGAGAGCTGCCGAACCGCCACCTTCTCGTCATCCTGTGAAAGATTTAGGAACAGAAATCGTGAACTGGCGATGAAAGTAAAATAATATTCTAGCTTATGCGAATTTTTAATTTTTAAAATGTTTATAACTTAGTTGACATCAAAACAATTTTCCTTATTGCGACATTCCCGAAATACGTGAAACATTCGTAAAATAAAATTGGAATTCAGTAAATAATCGGTTGCACTTACCTCAGCCAGAAGTTCATCCGAACCCCAGCGAAGGGTGCCTACTTGTGGATCATATCCACCAGTTGCAAGAGCGTTTCTCCACTTTGGAATATCGGGTACTTTCAGAAATCCCAAGTTACCGAGACGAAGCTCCTCTTCCATTTCCAAAAGCTTTTCCCTGAATACTGAATCCAAATTGAGAGTGGAAGGAATGTCTGGAGAACTTTTACCGTTCTCTACAGAAAGCAAGTGTTTCGGGCATCCGTTCAATTTTGATTCGAATTCGGTTTTTCCCTTCTATTAAAATAATTGTAAATTAATTTCAGGAAACACGAGAGTCAATTCAGCACATTTCCAGCATGATTTACCAACAATCGTGAACGCAATTGTCCCTCCCTCGTTCCTTCTGGATGCAGAGAACCAATTAAAGCTTCCAATTCTTCTGGAGTTGAGTAGTAGTACCACGAGCGCTCGCGTCCGAAACCGGAATGAACTCGACAATTCTTTCTGTTTTTCCAACCGGCACAAGAGGACAAAGTGGCTGCAATGAAAAAGCAGACTTGCATGCACAACTATCCCGATTTTATAAGATGACATTCCTACATACGATCTCGTTCGATTTCCGTCTTCTTTTTGCGCTTCGAGCTTTTCGCGGGCGATTTTTGGGGTGAAGAATCGTTCGCTTTGCACTTGAACGAAGGCTAAGAAAAAAAATAAGGTCAAAATTCATCAATATTGTATACTGTAGTTCTTAAAACAGGTGATCTACTAATGACTGGGAATACGAGTTTTACGATACTAAGTAAAATGACCAATAACTTCCCAACTTTGATCATGTATCCGTAAACGTTACGAACCTCTTGTAAGCATGGGCCACAGTTCTCTCCTATGTCTTCTACGAAAAGCCCGGGAACCGATGAAAACATCCAGTAACTTCTGAACGCTCTATCATAGCCCAAAGGCAGCCGAGAAAAAATGTTTTCCACGTCCGGTACGCCATCTTCATTTTCGTCATCGGCTGCATGATGATCGCCATTTTCTTGCGGCACACTGAGAACATCCACCGAATGAAAATAACAGCGAATCAAATCCAAAATTAAACTCACTCTCCTCCTGCTCTGGGGCGCCCACGCTTCCCTTTCTTCCTCCTCTTTTCCATAGCAGTATCAAGTTGCTCGCGAAAAGTCGTCGTCGCTGTAATTTGACTGATCAGTAGATTCAAAAGCGCGATGATCTCTCCAAACGTTAGCTCGAAGATACTGACAGTTTTCAACTTCTCAATCAATGGGGGAGACTCGATAATGAACTGCAACGCTGGATCGTCTAAAAATAAAGCAGGACATCAAAGTGAGAGGGAGGTGAAAAATAAGTTGCACACCCACCTTCAGATGAACCAGAGGACATTACGTGCAGGCGAAGTAATTCAGAAACCGTGTAAGAATTCGACGTAATTTGTCGTAAAGTAGCTCCGAGATGGCAAGATATCCAATGACCAACGTCAGAAGAAAATCGGGATACTTCTTCAGGGGTTTGAGGAATTTCACCTTCATATACAACAGCTGAGTCCGGCGGGGTCACCTTGCTCGAAGGATTCGGATCCTTAAAATAACACACATAAATTAGAGAGCTATAATTCATCACGCGGAATCAGAAACCCTTCCCTAATTGCTACCAGCATGAAAACACAAGAATTACCCGCAACTCCAATGCAACAGTCAGTAATGAGCGAAATAAATCGCCAACGACCGTGAACGCATCCTGACCAAAAGAGGTCCTCTCGACAACTTCAAAAGATATGCCATCCGGAAACCAACGATCCAAGCCTAAGCTTTCTCCGAAAGCCGAAATGAACTCGAGGATTTGAATCACATCTCCGAAGTATCGATCGGGAAGATGACAAGTCACTGCAGTTCCTCGCGGGAGATCCTGTAATTTATTTAGATTTTTATTACAATGCCCACAATTAAATCCGATATTTACTCGCACTTTCAGGCCCTGTATCTCGAGATCATCCTTGATAAGTTTCTTCTTTGATTTCCGAGTACTGCTTCCACCGGTGGTTCCCTTCTTAGAAGTCCTGAGATAATCAATAGGAAGTTTAGATACATGGCTCGGCGGAGTTGGCCGAGCCATACGAAGAGAAAAGGTGCCTTACCCATGAACTTTCCGAACCTTGGATTTTGGTTCTCGCGCGGAATTTCCCAGTGAGTCGTCACCTGTAACACAATGATGTACACTACAAATACTATACAGATCGATAGATATTTTACTTACTTGGAGAATCACTGCCATCAATATACGCTTCCTGTGGTCTCCTACGGCCTCGACCCGGCGGCTTCTTCACAACTGGCTTTGGGGGAACGAAGACATCCGTCAATTTCAGCTCCTCCATATCAGACTTGTCGGCTATGTCTTGCTTGAGACCAATGTAACCATCGGCGTTCATTTCTGTAGTGCGGTCGAGAATCGACGCGATAAATTTGGCGTCAATATTACTTCGACAGCGACGAATTTCATCATGACTGACGACAAAGCGTTCGCGGGCACTGCGAGATCGTGGATCGTTTTTGCCATCATAACACTCGACGCTGTACCGATAGACTGAGGCAGGAGGCCAGACATGGTCCAAATTTTCATCGCTTAAGGGATTGAGACTATATAAGAATAATTAAATGCCATATGACATACGGTAAATGAAAACGAATTCGCCGACTCACTCGTTTGATTTCGAATGTATTAATTCCTGCTGAGTTGGAGGGATTACGTGGATAACGGACGAAGACCGCCTGAAGATTAGGATACGGTACCATTATCCAATTCATGACCCAAAAGAAATACTGCAGACGTACCACTCGTTCTTCACAAAAACCTCCACCTCCTCACCGCGGAAAAAGCGTCTTCGTATAAATGCGCTAAGATCTTCAGCAAGTTCGATTTGCGAGTTTCGCCGAAACAAGGGGAGGAAGTAGAGAATCCCCCTCTCTAACTAGAATGAAATGACTTCAGATCATGCATTCTCGCAATCTAACGATCAACCTTTCCTTACGCAAGAATATACGAATTAGCTCACCTTCTCCGGGACAGGATCCACGCAGGGAATCATGATGATTTTGAAAGAACGCTCAATCAAACCGATACGTCCTCAGAAAAGGCATACTTGCATCACGAAGTTAGTTGCATAAACCGGGCTTGAGGAAAACCGTAAGACTGCACTATCCCGTTCGAATACCGCAACGTCATAACCTCTTTCACTTCGCTGCCATCAGTTGAACACCCTCCTTCCGCCATGTCTTGAAAGTACTGCTGGCTGCCATTACTCTTCAGTGTTACTTGGCATGGCTGCCGAAAGCCAATGAGGGTCACAAAGAGCACAAGGAACCTCCAGGCTATCGAATGCCGTAAGTCAGGACTCCGAATTCTGTACAGTGGTGTGAGAAGTACTGCATTAATCTGGAGTTTTTCTCTTTCTAAGGGAAGCTAAAATTGAGATGCGCATCAGCCTCACCAGGAATTTATAGCAACTTCACTGCCCTCAGAGAGACACCCAGAACCGTGCTACAGTAGCAAAATTATTCAAAAGAAGGCATGGAAAATACAGTACTGTACAGAACGATCCATGTACACAATAACCAGTGAAAAGCAGAAGATACAGCACAGTATATCTTTTTTTTAAACTCTCGAAGCAGATCAACCTCGCAGAAAATGATCACTTGAGAATGGTATTTTTTATCTATGCATTGCATGGTACTACTTTTTACTTACGTTATACGCCCACTTCTTGCATTACTGTATTGTAATTTTTGCATTTCTACAGTAAACGGGGTTCTCTTGAATGTTTTTGGGTAATGTTGAAAAACATTGTTTTATTTTTTTACTTTTGAATATTGTTTGACTGCGGTTTCCAAAAAAAAAAATAAAATTACTGCATTTTGTGACGCTGTTCATTTGATTTTAATAAATCATGGACAATTTTTCATCCAAGATCAACAGTAACGAATTACAGTACGTACATAATGCGTCAGTATGCTTCGTATTTATGATGCAATAATTTTAGAAGTGAATATTCTTGGACCATGGACATCATTATACTGTACAGAGGTGCATGTACTGTACGGGTGCCTCTCCAAAAAACTACAACCACCTATTGAACTTTAAAAGCTAACTTGTCTACCAGCAACGAACTGTTGTGCTTGATCTCACTTGCAATCCCTTACAACACTGAAAAAATAAATAAAATAAAAATTATGCTGCCCAGAAGACTGGTTGGTTCTCTTCTCCGTGCTTTTTTTTTTATTTAAAAATGCTGTCAACATAAGTCAGAAGCAATATATGTCTGCTATCGTCCAAAAAAATTTCGATTTCAAAGATATTGTAAGAGGGCTATAACAAAAAGTTCCAAAAACTTGGAAAATATTTTTGATGAATAAGCTTGCGCAAAGGTAAATGAAATATTGAGTACACAGTACTTGTTGAATCAAAAATCAGCATATATACTGTACTGTGATGAGTAAATATGCACTACGGCATTGAGGACAATAACCGACACAAAAGTAATTTTATTCACTGTTCTCCATACATGAAGACCATCAACAGGCCGAAAGCATTTAAAAAGTACAAAATATTTTGCATTAGACGCGTTCAAAAAAAAAAACAAAAAAAACCGAACATTCAACGTCGCTGAACTTCCACGCGTCAACATGAGAGATACAATTTACAATCAAATCCGCGAGCCTTCACCTTTAAAATGCGTCAAGAATACTTCGGGGTCCACACGTTCAAAAGTTATGCAATCAAATACAGGATGCAGTTCATAGTGCTCTTGACACGAAGATTCATTTGTGACATCGAGTCAAATGCTTGCGTTCCAGTCGTTCAGCAGAAGATTTATCAGACCTCGTGATGGAAGCCTTCCTCAGAACATCATGTGTTTTGTGCAGTTGTTGGCATATCAAATCTTTCCGGAGATCCAAAGGACACTGCAATTTGGCCAAGGCATCACGCAATTGATGCTTACTGTCGGCCAGCTCACTCAACAACCTCGAGTTTTCCTCACGAATGATTTTCAATTCCACCTCCAAAATCCCTAAATAACCCGAAATTTTCAAAATATAGAATCGAAACACAAAGACAAAATTACAGTATAAAAAATATTATTACCCAGGGAAGCGGCGTTTTCGTCACTCTCCTTCGTTAACAACGGAAATAGTCGATGGCAATCGGGACAGGTGAACCCATAGTCGGCATATGCATGGGGTTCGGTTTCAATGCCTTGATCCGGCGATGAATACGTACCCGGGGAATGCGTATGCGCACCCTGCAATATAAAATATCAATGATAAGCTTTGCTCGAAAGAGTGAAAGACGTTATTCCCCGGAAACTAACATTGATTACGTCCATTGGTGCCGAATGAGATTAGAAAAAAATTACAAAACTCATCAGTTTTGGGCATTCATATTTTAATTTCCCTTCTATACAACTGACTTCGGCTTCTCATACTATGCGGGGAAAATCGGATTTGAAGTGAAGTACAGTACCGTATAATCAACTTGAGTCTGTCTATACCGAACAGCTTTTATTTGTGAGTCTAAAAATTAAAAAAAGTTAGCTGGCTTATCATTGTAAAAAAAACTCACCATGACCTGGAAATGAGACTGGTCATGGTTCACGCCTGGCATGACACCGAAAAGCTGGCTTTTACTACTGACTGCGCCAGCAACGCATTCAACGCTTCTTCCGCTTTCTGGCGAGCACATGCCACCAAGCAAACCATTCGTCGTTCCTGAAAAAGAAAAAGGATTTTCAAGGAAGTTCTTCGTGACGAACTAACTCGAAAACGGAGCAGGAATTCCACAGAAAGATTGCTTTCAACCCCGTGAAGGATCACTTACCATCGAAGTCATCCACTTGCAAGCTTTTATCTAGATATTGTCGGCGCTTCGCCTCCAACGCGTCAGCGTAGTTTTTCGCCTCAACAAGTCGTTGATTTTCCACTGAGAGCTCTACATATCGGGATTCCAAGTCATTCGCCTTTTCTTTCTGGGCTTGTATCTGAAAAGTATTGAAATACTGTATAATAAAATCTGAAAAACACGTCAAATAAAAATTAATAATATTGATCTAACCTCGCGTTTCAATTCAATCACCAGCGCTAAATGTTCAGATTTCTCATTCATCAGCGCAGCTCTTCCTTGCTCCTCGATAGCGTGATAATTGGCTTCCAAGGCTCGGCATTTTAGCTTTTCCTCCTCCAGACGAAGCTCCAAATCTCTTCCCAACTCAGCAGCAGATTTCAAGGCAGAAATTTTGTTCTCGAACTCTACTCTCACCGAGGAAATAGCAGAGATTTTCTCGGTTTCTAAAAGCGTACACTTGGCCGCGTTTTCCGCATGAAGCGAGGCGATTTTAGCGTCCGATTCCGCTTTGTTTTCGTCAATGTCTTTTTCCAGTTCTGCGCGTGTTTCGCGAGAAATACGCAGTTCGTCCAATGCGCGATGAAGTTCTTCTTCCAACTGCTTGCATCGGATTTCCAGTACTTCAATTTCTTTTGCGTAACGCTCGGACGTCGCTCGAGCTTCATTTAGCTGAGGGGGAAAAATTATTACATATTAGAATATTAGATTAAAACAAAAACAACACAAGCATGAGAAACAAATTTTCCTGTTAATCACCTGAATTTTGAGTTCCTTCTTGTCGATTTCGGCAGCTAGAAGGGCTTCTTGCAACTTGGAATGCTTTTTCTGATCTTTGGATTGTATTTCTACGGCTTTCACTTCATACCAATCTTCAAGTCCGAGGAGTTTGTCACGTTCGGCTTTGTTTGTCACCAGTTCTTTTCGGAGTCGAGTCACCTCTTTTTCCAATTCTTCGTTGCGTTGACTGACAGCATTTATTTGCGTCTCCGAATGATCACACAGCTGAAAGTTTATTCGATTCAGTCACTTGGATTTCTTGAACCCAGGAATTCTCGTTCCCGTTACATCCAATGTACTCTCGATTTTGATTGAATGAATCAAGACCCTTTTCCTTGCATATAAACGCTGTTATTCACAATGATTTGATCGAGTTCTATGCCGAATTCTTCAAAAATTCTGAAAATATTTTGAACTAACTATCGAGCCTTCCAAAAACAAAACAAAAAACTAATCATAAACATTGCTAATATTCTAAAAGAGTAATTTCCCGACGACCAGCGTCCGAGAAGTATTACGAACAAACCTGTCGATAACGTTCCGCTTGGGCCATGGCAGCCCGCAGCCTTTCCTTCTCTTCGCGCAGTTCGTTACCTGCAACGCTTTCCTGTAAATGCCGCTTAATTTCGTCGTGATTTGCAATCGTCTCTTCCAAGTTTTCTCTCAGAGCTTTGAGTTCAGAAAATAACTCTTGGTCTCCTTCGCCTCTACCAAGAGCGGCATGACACGCGACCAATTCCGCTTTCAGGGAGTCATTCATAGCTTGCAGTGTTTTCATACTCAGCATCTGGAAATTCGATATTGACAATAAAATATAAGTTCAAAAACGTTCCAGGGCCTCGCGCTAGGAATTCATCGTTTTTATTATGATCATTTTTAAATCTTATCAAGTGAGAAAAGATAACTCACAAGATTCCTGTTCTGTTGCAAAACTCTCGCCAAGCTTGCAGCTGAATTTCCAGCCAACTTTTGCGAGTCAGCGTCAGATGACGAAGACGTCGAGACCTGCCCCACAGCTTGGAGTTCGTCATCAGCAAAAGGCTTCAACCTTGAGAACAAGTCGTGAATTTAATTGTTTCGCAGATATTCAAAACTACAAGCAAAAAGTTAACAATTTTCCGCAAAATTGGACAAAATGAAATGCTCGAAACTTTTTTCCTTCATCACGCTCTGCAGGAATTCAGGCGGGTTTGCTTAAATTCGGGCAAAAATAATTTTACAGACTGGATTACTCGCCATCGAAGTAAAGTACGATAATACAGTTTGGAGAAAACTGAATGTAAAGAACTGCACAGCGGATCTCCATCATTCGGGGCAATGTAACTCAAGGACAATTTCTTTCCGATGATCGATAAAATTCTGAATTGACTAAAAGATAAACAGTACAGTATTGGCGACTTACATTTGAAACTACAAGAACGATAAATTTTCCAGAAAATATAAATTGTTTTTTTGGAAAGGAAGCATGTGGCATCTTGAGAAGTCTTTTGATTCGTGAAGTAAGAATTCTTTCGGACTAAAACATTTGGGGCGAAATGAAGATGCACGGTTATTCAAAGTCAAGGTTAGGTGAAGGAAAAATTATTGAGGTTTCTTCTGTACCCATGAACAGTATTTTTCCCAAAACCTGAAAGAAATTGCGTGAAGTTTACACACAAACCTTGCTTCTTGATCAAGACCGATCCTGGCCAGGCTGACATTTCTGTCTGGTTCAGACCAGGCTTCAGATTCGCTGGGAGAAAGCGGCTTGCTGACAGGCACTGCAGCATCCACGCGTCGATTCGGTGCAGGTGGTTGTCCAGCAACGGATTTCGACGGCAACGAACGGTGATGGTGGTGATGGTGCGAACGGTGCGTGGCACCCGCGGGTGATGTATCGCCTTTGCGCCGGGTCCCAGGAGATGCTTGCGTGGTTCCAGAACGGTCTTGCGCGAGTGACCGAGCACCAACGCTACGTTTAGCGCCTGACTCCTGATTAACAAAAAAAAATAGTCATAAGGAGGCGGGTTTTTCAACTATTGAAATCGAAAATAGCCTAGCTTCATCCAGGCTAATTCGAAGAAAAGGCCCAACTACATGGTCTCAAATACTGCCCAAAGCAAAAATGTATTGAACTCGAAACTATCCCTAATCTAATCGAGAAACACTTTTCATTCAGGAATAAAACGTCAGTAAAAGCACTGTCACTTTCATCCCAGTTATGACTCGAATCTCGAATTTTTTTTCTGTATTTTCACGCATTTCAAAAGCCTACGACTGAAGGTACACATAAATGTTCATTACATTGCGGGAGAATGTTTATAATTTAACTCACAATATTAACGCCCATTTTCTAGCCCTGAATGGTGAACATTTTGAGAAATGTTCACCATTTAGACCTTTAATTTCCTTCCTAGGTGGGAAAAAATACCTCGTTACTCTATTCTCAGCATCAGTCGAAAAAAAAGAGAAAAAAACCAGAGATTGAGAGAGAAAATGAAATGTAAAACTGGAGTATTACCTTTGTTGGCTCTCCAGCGGTGCCAAGGATCAGCTTTTCGATTTCTAAATCCCTAGCCCGAATACCTTCCGCCAATCGCGTTGTTTCTCCACGCAACTTGGTAATCATCTCTCCAGCAACAAGCAGTTGCTGATTTTTATCTTCAATTTCCTTCCGAATTCGGATTAATTCGTCTCTTCCACGATCCGCGCCAGTTTCATCGGCTTCTGGAGTCGCCGGACTACCGTCATCACGCAGCCCAAAACTTGACGCTTGGCTGGAGAAGCTGATCAGATCATCGTCGTCACCCCGACACGCTGGTTCTTCATCTATCACAGAGACGACCAGACTTTGCGAGAGAGATTGCGACAGATTACGGGAATTATCCAAGGCACGACGCATTGCGGAAACATTATCCGCAGACACATGCGACAAGTCCAGGAGACCTGAAAAAAAAGGAATATTTATGATGCGCAAAATTCCATTTCTAGCTACACATCACTAGACACCCATCCCAAAATCGTTATAATTATTCAAGTAATGGAACCATTAAAAACCATGAAATTGTACGTGGAATAGAGTCTAAAAACAATTCGACAAACGCCGAACAAAAAATTCTGAGCAAAACTAGTGCAAAAATTAAAATTTTCAAGCATTAATCTGAGTAAAAAGGCAATAACCTTGATCTTCCAGTACCAAGATTTGATCCAAGAAGTCGGCCAACTCCTCAAGTCGCGTTCTGAGCATAGCACAGGCATTGTGGGAGTCTGCCAATTGCTGTCTCACGATAGCAAGTTCTTTCTTGTACTTCTTGGCCGAACTCTGATATTTTTTCCTCCAATCGACAGCTCGGGCTTCTAGTTGGTCATCCCTATACTGTCTCAATTGTCGTACTTCTACTCTCAGCGCTTCCACCTTAGTCAACATAAACACATTACTGGGTTTATGTAAATTTCAATTTTAAACAGGAAATGATTCAATCTAAAAAAAATGGAACGTAGTTCACAAAATATGGGATGCTCACTGTTTCCGCTCAAGTTCAGTTGACTGCAACAAAAAAAGTAGCTTGCTTCTGACCATCAATATTTAGCATAAGGACAGAGCACAAAAATACACTCCAGATAATTGTTATTCGGCAAAAAATGCACAATACAATATTGCACATTGTTCTAGCTTGGCGAGGATTTTAATGGCATTCAATCATAATTACAGTACAGTATTTAAAATTCATAACATTGGCCGACCAAATTTCTTCTTAAACTCGATGAATCAAAATAGTTCTACAATAAAACAGCATTGAGGCGTTTCGAACAGATGCTCCTACACGAGATTTAATATCGTTATCGGCGGTTCCATTAAACATAACTTGATATTTAAACAAAATGAATATAATATTTTAATCATGTTTTGATGGGAAAAATTCAAAAATTACGGAAAAAACTGTTACTTACCTGCTCGCGATCGAAGTCTAAATTTTTACTGCACTCCATTTCAACTTCTTGTCGTTCCTTTTCCAACGCGTCTACCTTCTCCAGGGCAGATTTCAGCTGTTGCTTAACTTCTTTTTCATTATCCAACTTGCTGGTCAACGCATCCTGCAAAGCTACTATCCTAGACTTGAGGGCTTCAACAGTTTCTTCGTGACAGGCAGCAAGCAGAGGAACCATTGAAGCTGGAATGACGTCTGCAAATGCCGCTTGATGAATGTGAATAACATTGGGATTTGTTTCTTGCATAGGCTTCTTGGCAACTGCAAGTTTAAGTTCGTTGCATGAACTGCTACCACTGTTTTCCTTTCCAAGCTGTAAAAATAAATTTCAAATTCGAGGCATCAGATCAACTAGAGATAATAAAAAACACAGAATTCTTTATTGAAAAAATAGTACTCTGAGTCTAATAATGCCGAAAAAGATGCGTTTTGGATTATCAGGTTACTGAGGGTAATTTGTCACACGGGACACGTAAATTCACATTAAAGGGATAAGCATTTGTATTAACCGATGATAGGTGATTTGCTTCCTTCCTGCTGTCCTCCAATGCAGCACGGAGTTTCCTGGCTTTATCCTTCAGTCGACTCAATTCTTTATCCTTGTCATCGAGAGTTTCACGCAAATTTGCGATGTCTTTCTCATGAAATTTGCTCATTTTGTCCATTTGCTTCTGCAACTTTGCGATTTCGTCGTTTTTAGACCAGAGTTCCATTTCAAATTTGCCCTGTGTCGAGATTTCGCTGGATTCCACTTGTGCAGCCTTGGCTTCCAGTTGTTCCCTGAGTTGCACAAATGCAGCACGCAACGTGGCAACATCAGCGGATTCAACAGCAAATTGAGGCTGAATATGAATGGATTGTTGGGGCATGCTTGCCACCAACGAATGTGACGAGTCGGGCTTGAACGCTTGATTCGACGGGGTGTTGCTAAGCTGCTTCTCCAGACATTCAACCTTGGTCTTCCAGCCCTGTTTTCCAAAAAATATCATTTAAAAAGATTTTCAGCATGAAATTATCATTGAATACCTGAATTTCTACTTCTTTTTCCTGCTTGATGCGAGTGAGCTCAGACACGGTTTTTTTCATTTCCTCCAACTGAGTCCATAAGGTCTGAAAATACAACGGCGATATGTTAAAGGATTCTAGACAGAAAAAAAACTACACACAAAAAAGCACATTTTCCTGCAGCAGCCGAAGTTTTCTTGGCATACATGCTTGAGTCGATATAATAGACGATAATTTAGGCCGAAGGTCCAGTGAACTCGTAAACTCTTACGGAAGGAGGTTCCGACGTTCATTTTTTCTAAATGCCTATATGGTTTCAGATTTTAAGACACTAAATAATTTTCAGGATTCAAAAACTTTCCCGCTACATTAAAAGTAGGCTACAGTAGCGAGTTTTCACTGTAAAGCATATCAACATTTACCATGAACACATCAGATTTTGGAAGGCAGAACACGTGATTCCTTAAAAAAAATTTTCAAAAAGAAGATGGAGTACGGTATAAAGTCGAAACACAACGGCGCGAATAAGGCAATAAAAAGACACATTACCTCCATCTCTTCTTCAGCCATTTCTTTCACACCGCCTTCAGATCCACCTTGTTCCGCCTCCCACTTAGCTTTATTTAGTGAATCCTGTAGTTCCTTCATCTGAGCTTCAAGGTCACGAATCCGTCGATCTCTTCGTTTCAGATCAGAATTCTTCTTCTCCAGTTCCTGTACTGCAGATTGCGCGGCTTTGATTTGGCTACTCAGTTGGTCCTCCAAGTCACGCAATTTCTCTCTGCTTTCGCGCAGCTTTCGTTCATACTCATCCAATTCTTTCTGCTTTTCGTCCAAGGTGATTTGGATTTCTACCAGAATCTTTTGCTGTTGCTCCAGCTGACTGTTTTTCTCCTCGATTATTTTATCCTTGTCTTCAATTTCTCGAGTTTTTGTGAGTATCTCAGGCTTGACTGTTTTGAGCTCTTCTTGAACGCTTTGTACGCGCTTCTCCTTCTCAGCAACTTCTTTCTCTTTTACGTTCATTGCATTCGACAATTTCTCGATTCTCTCATCCTTTTCGGAGACAGTGGCATGCAGTGATTGAACTTCTGAAATCTTCGACGTAAGCTCGTTACGTGATACTTGGGCTTCATCTTCAGCGGTCACAACCCTGGCCCTCATGTCGTTCAGCTCTTCTTGTAGCGAGGCTATTTTGACGAGCAACTCGTCCTTTTCATTCGGACCGACCACGACTGGAATTTCGGGGACATTCACCAATGGTGTATCCTGACAAGAGAAAATACAGCATATTCATTCAAATTATGCATGTGGCTGCAGATGAATTATTAAATTGAATCATACATTCGTATCTTTCTGTGACCATGACAGTTTGTCAGCTTCATGCTGCGCAATGATCCTGGCTACGGCTTCCTCATGTTGAACTTGCAACGTTTCAATGGCTAGAGAAGCTTCCGACAATAACTCTTTAAATTTGGCATTTTCCAAACGCAGATTTTCGGCTTCTACTTTCAAGTCTATCACTTTGCGACTATCGTCTTGAGCAGATCCACCCCCAGGTCTGCATCTTTCCTCAAGGAGATGAACCCTGAGTTTCAAGTCGAAGTTTTCTTTGCGAAGATCTTCGACAATTTCTTCATAGTCTTTCATAGGGGCACGAGATATCAGCTGCTTCGACATCGTGGTTGGACCCAGAGAAAATCCTAGTGCAAAATCGAGTTACAGTAAATCTTAACACAGAAGAGGCCTAAACGCATTCGAACTTACTTGCCGTTGGAGATTTCACTCGTTCCGGGGTGGAGCTTAAAGGTATGAAGAAAAATCACTTTATCATGTTTCAAACCTAAAAGGAAAAGCATGCACTCTCAGAACTACCAATCCAATTGTAACTGCATGGTAAACAACAGCTCTCGGGCGTGCTTCGAAAATCATCACACAAACCGGAAGAAAATTCGGCGCTATTTAACTTTAGCTCCACACTTCCAAGCACATGCGCAGTCACGGAAGTCGCATCGTTTTCGGCACGCATCAACCGTTGCACATCCACGCAAGAAAAACGAAGCACTATCACACCGCCGCCAAACGCACCATTAAGAGCAGCCATGAATGAAAATTGTAACGGGAAATATTCGGGAATGTACTAGCATTAAGCCATCCATCTTAGCAACGTCTCAAGGCGACAAAAAGCCTTGAATGCTTCAATATTTTGATACTTTCGGAGACAGTTATTTTGCCTTTCATACCCCTACGCTCCCCAAGTTCAATGCACTACGGGGGTTTTCGAAACACTCTTTGATAAAAGCTGTGTCTTTCAAATGTCATGGTGCCGAACATTATGAATGAAGCAATTGTTCTTCCAACGATGAAGGTAATGGGAAAGAGTTTCAGTGTCTCTCTCTGTCGTTGAACTTGAAATGTTGAGATGAATTACGCACGAGACTATCGAGAGTTATGTAAACACTAATTTGACGAGACAGTTACAGGAGTTAGAGTAACTGACTGAATGTACCCAAAAAGTCACCTCCTTCATTGTGAGATGAAAGGCTACTACCTCCCAGTGGCTACACTGAGCACACGTGAAAATAGTGAATGTCTTAAAAAATGGAAGGAAACTTGTTGATCAGTCGTAAAAGCTCACCTGTTCACTCCAGCGTCGCGCTGGACCAACCGAGGCAAGTGACTCCCGCTGATTTTTGGTGGACTCATCTGTGGAACTCACTGTTGTTTTAAATCCTGATCGTGGAATTATTGTAATGCAAATCCACGGATCACGCTACTCGTTTTAGAGAAAAGTTGAACGGATATCATGCAATAAGCGACATCGCAATTTAATCGAGCTTGTCGCGCATTGAATGCGCGATTTCCTTGTGGATGTTTTCAATCCTTGTGATGGCCGAAAAATTGAGTTTCAACCTGCTGGTAAACTGATCACTGCTCATCGTTCTTCTTTCGTTACGAATTCCCACAGTTGGAACACTACTGAGCCTGCGCAGGATGTCTCCCCCTCCTGTGGTTCTTGAATCTATTTTTAACTCTCGAGTTTTAACGGGATTCACATAACGCATCCGAGTGACTGCTGTGACGCATGAAAAAAAAAGATAAAGATGAAGCCGACTGAGATGTCAGAAATGTAATTTACCATCTCTTGACTGAATGGTGTATGTAGTAAGGCTGTGTTGAGTGTAACGGAGGAAATGAGACACTGAACGTCTAACCATTCCTTCAAATTTTCAGACCGCAGGAAATTTTCGACAATATGCTTGAGAAGAAGATAGACATATGCTTCATCGGAGGCATAATCATGGATATGACGAGGTAATATTGCTGCAGATCTTCGCGACCGTTGTTGAAGAGTTTCTAATTCATTCATTGATTATCCAGTTACATGGACGCATTTCCAAAGCCGGGAGAAACGAAAGTCGGCCACCGGTTTGAAGCCGGCTATGGAGGGAAAGCAGCGAACCAAGCAGCTTTAGCGGCAAAACTTGGAGCTAAATGCGCTATGGTTGCTCGAGTGAGTTCCATGAACTTGTCCGGTAATCACCGGGTTAGCAAGATCTTAGTCTTGCGTCATCCAGGTTGGCGATGATGCAAATGGACGTTCTTACATTGATCACTTTCGATCGCTTGGAATCAATGTGAACAATATTCGGACGTCGGATAAAAGTTCAACTGGTGCTGCCAACATTTGGGTTGATGACAGTGGTAAGGACTGCACATAAAACGATTATTTCGTGCCATGCTCGAACCATTCAATTCCAAAAATAGGGATGAACTGCATTTGTGTCATTTTGGGCGCAAATCTTGACATGACGAAGCAAGACATCTTGGATGCTGAGGATACGATAGCAGCGTCTGCAGCTGTTGTTATTGGCCTTGAATTAGACATTGATATTGCCCACTTCGCAATTCAAATTGCTGGCAAGCACAAAGTTCAATGTCTTTTGAATGCTGCCCCCATGCCAAAAGACATGCATGAAGACTTTTTCTGCATCCCTGACGTTTTTAATGTGAATGAAAGCGAGGTATGACGTATGGTATTATAATCTTCGGATTGTTTTGTCTGTACAGTATTGAATTCTTCCGTTATTTCAGGCTTCAATTGCAACTGGCATCGCTGTTACGGATGCTGAAAGTGCAAAGTTGGCTGCTCGTCATTTGGTGGAGAAGAAGCATTGCAAAACTGTCATTATCACTCTTGGAGAGAATGGTGCTGTTTTTGGGTCAAACGATGGAGCTCAATTCGTACATGTTCCTACGGACCCCGTGAAAGCTGTAGACACAACGGTAATATCCTTGAGTTACATTATGATTCTGTTTTCTGTAGCCAATTGTCGTTTAAATCAACTTTGCTCATATTTGTTCATAATTATCTTTAAGTTCGTGGCCAATGACAAACAATCATGTAACGTATGGGTACGTGAGAAACTGTCGCGTTTCGAAAATCCTGTAGGTTTGAAAATCTTGCGGGATACAAAACTCCCGTGGATTACAAAATTGTGAAAGTAGTGTCTTCGGAGTTTTCTTTTCAAGCATTTTGAAAGTTTCGGATTACCTTCTTTGAAGGAAAGGTCAAGAGGAAACCTTGGAAATATGTAGCCTTCATTTGGAGCGTTAATCCCTTCGATTGCTTTGAATATAAACTGTTTGCTTTCCTACTGATAACCACAGTTCAACTTTGCTTCTTGAATTGCTTGTCAATTTGCTTGAACTCCAAAAATATTTTCTTTTATTGGCTTGAGGGCAATACGTATTCAAGGTGGGTACTTCAGAAACAATTTGTAATGGTGGAACAGGAAAAATGGTTCTTGGGAAATTGAATGATGCCAGAAAACAAGCCTTGTGTGTTCCAGAAGACCTATCCACTTTTCATGATGTACAAATACCTCCAAAATGTTGGGTTACTTGAGGCAAAGAATAATTATTGCGATGGACTTCGGCAGTGATGATTGTGAACACCCCATTGCATATTGTTGTCATCAAAAGATGATTTTTCTGATGCATGAATTCATAATGTGGAATTTTTGTAGCCTGCAAGATTTTTGCACCTACCGGATTTTGGTCCTCATGGTATTTACAGGCTGAGGGATTTTCTCAATGAAAATCTCAGGCAAAAGTGTAAGTCAGGTGTTGATTCAAGTGAGAATATGAATAATCTGTTTGCTGTGATGTATAATACGGTGTACTTCAACATCATTACAAATTTCATATGTGCACGATATTTTTTGACATCTTTTGAATCTGAAGGAAGAATTAGGCCAGAAGCAGGTGTTTGCTGCACACGTTTCATTTGTTCAGTTTCAATACAATTATTTAGGTATTACTGTTGGTATCAACCGAGTGAGCTTTGCAGGTGGAAAGACGATCTCCTCAAACTTATGCACATTCAGTCGGTACACATTCTGTGTGTGCTTTTGCGAGAAAAAATGTTCAGCGTGATTGTGAATTTGATCACGAACTGGATGATGGCAGATTTCGCTTCCCTTGATACATTTATTCATTTGTGATTGTTGCCTCTCCAATATTGATACCATATTTCCCAGTGTTCAGTTGAACCTTATCAAGTAAAACTTCTAGGGCCAGCAAAATTTTGAGTTAGAGAAAGAAGCATTTCCTATGGGAAAAGGAGGAAGAATCCAGAAGATAGTAATTGTGATACTCCAGACCTTGAAGTGATTTTTAAATGGGTTGACAGGATGCTGAAGTTGTAAAAGGGTTTATTTGTCCAAAGAATCTTTGAATCTTTTATTTCCTTCCATAATGCATCAATCTAAATTTTTTAATTATTTTTTTTCTTGTGTCAATACTGTACAATATTTGTCAAAAGGCGTCTAGAAAATTTTAATTGAAAGTTTGAGGGGGAAAGCCTTTGCGTTCAGATTTTTAATGCCTTGCTTTTAAAGGAATTTAGGCAGGGACAGGAAAATAATTTATTAATAGGGAGGTATTTGATCCTGAGGAGGTTGAAGTTATCAAGGTCTCCTTTACTTCCGTTAACTCCCAGCTTGTTTCTGGAAGAGATTACAATTATTTTTAAACTCCTATGTCGAGGAGCAAGATTCTGGATTCATTGGCTAGAAAGGACGATGTAGTGTGCTATGAAGATTCTGTTGAATAGACCTACGATGACCAGGATTTCAATGGGAAGTTCAATTCAGCGTATGATTAAACTGGAACTTCAACAGGTGCCCTACGCCTCACTTATTTGTGGTTAGTCTTGAAAGCCTTGTTAATCATGTTTCTAGGGTGCTGGAGATGCTTTTTGTGGCGCACTTGCGTTTTTCTGGGCGAAATATCCTGATTTGCCGGTGGAAACCATTGTGAAGAAATGCTGCGACGTTGCAACAATGAGCGTCTTGAAGCCTGGAACACAAGCATCGTTCCCAAGCCGTGAAGAACTCCCTGAAGGCTTCATCCCAGCTTAGAGAGCTCAGGCTATCAAGAGGAAGGTCAGAATCATATGTGGGTGCTATTTTTCTATTGATTTCGCGAAGGGCTTTTTGGCATAGTTGTAAACGCATTCCGGTCATGGGATTAGCTTTCGTTTGGGAATTTCGAGACTGTGAGTGAGGCAAACATAAACGGCAAAATTGCAAAATCACAAAAGCATTCATTCTTTTTTTCAGAAATGTTTTATTTCATCTCTATTTCAAGATAGTAGACAAAACGGACGAGTTCTCCAATTGCAAGGATTTATTGACACAAAGAAATGCAAAGCACACAACAATAAGGTCAAAGTTATGAAATGCCTTTTTCCCTAAACAGTAGGCGTGAAAGTTGAAGCAAAATGCAATTCAGTTCAAATCTCACGGAAATGCTCAAAAATAATCAAAAGATTCTTTTCTATCCCTAGGCAAAGACAAGAATTAGTCTGAAATTCTGTTCACAAACAATGTTGTCCCTGAGAAAAAAAGTCACTCATTGTTTCAAGCGAATGGAAGAAAGACGGCACCTGGCACAAAACAGTGTCCTTGACCAAACGGTTAAACGCTCTTTTCCACATCATTCACCGTGTGATCAAATGAGTCCATAATTTACAGCATCTTCGTAACGTCTTTCCTTCGACAGGAGAGTTCCACAAAAAGCAAACAAAAAATCACATTGGTAACTTCCCTCTTAGTTTCGCCAACAACCCACACAGAAGAAAAGCATTAAGATTTGAATGGAACTGTGCAATTTACAAAAGGATTCCTAGAATGAAAGGGGGGTCTTCGTCTTGGCTAACATCAAAAAGAATGTTCAGAAAAAATCATCAACGCAAATCTAATGCCTCCTCTGTCCAATCAAGGAAACCTCATAGAAGAGGTGCTACACATCAGCCTGCTGCAATGGAAGATCCAGATTCCAGGTTTTAAAAAATTCAAACCTTTTCATATAATTTTAGCAAGGACTCACAAAAACAGGAGAAGGGGAATTTCAAGAAGTGAGAAAAGCGCAATGCGATTCACGCACTACCAGGCTCCAAGAAATTTTAATCATTTAAATAAGATTTGATCATGACTTGATGAAATATTTGACAAAATGTTGCCCCTTAAATTTTAAGACGTGCACTCATGGCTAATGCTTGGAATTATGTAGAGAACAAGCAATATCCTCAAGAAAATTATTACGTCAATTAGTGAGAGTAATGATAAAATTTTTGGTATCCTTGTTTAAAAAAATCTGTTCTTTGTTGCCTTTACCATGTTGAAAATGATGTGAGAATTTTCACCCTTTTCCTTTAAGTTTCCCCTCACCTTGTCATTACATAAAAAACTAAAATCCTGCATTCATATTTTAATAGTTGAACATAGCGTGGATCACAGTGTAGAACATCAAAGCTGTGCTGGGTTTCATCTCACTTGCACGTCATGATTCCAAGCAACCTTCAGCACACATTTTCAATATTATAAATTATTAAAAACTAATTTTGCAACAGAGAGGAAGAGTAGCATGAAATCGACGAGACTGTTTATGAATTGAATAAAACCTATCGATCTTTCCAATCAGAGCAAATTCTTCGCTGATTATTCAAAGAATGCTGAATATTTGACTCCCCGACGCCTCGTACAAAAATTTCGGCTTAGTGAACCTCATCATTTATAGATGATGGGTCAGCTCACCTCTGGTGGCGTGGTTTTCTCTAAATCACGCCACCAAACGAGTGCTAATGACAAAACATTAAAAAAGAAGCGCTCAATCCATCCGCGCAAACTGAGGGTACAAAGAATCCAGGATAATATCACAATTCATCGCTTCTGTGCGATTCACCAGCTTGACTTGGAGCCCAAACTGTGTTGTCTTTCCATTGGCCGAAAACGGCTCAGCAGAAGACAAATCGCCGCTCTTGACAAATTCAAAAAAGGCCGTTTGAAGAGGAGAAGTTTCTTTTGGCGCAAAGATGGCGTCCACATCAGCATAAGCGTCCACTGCATCAAAATCCAAGCCACCACTCTGTGGACGAGGATGCGTGGCTTCGTAGAAGTAAACTGGAGAAGATGAGTGACTCGCCAATGTCGAAGCGAGTTTCAACAGGGGACACTTGGTCCGCACGTCAGTGAGGAGTGCAAAATATTTGGCGCGAGGGTCCTGGGATTTTGCGTCCTGGGTTGCAACCACGCCTGGCTCGCCAAGGATTTGCAGAGCAGTGGCTCTGACTATCTCATCAAATTCTTCAAAGTTCTCTGTTAATTGATCTCTCATTTTTGAAGTTGTGTTCAGCAAGAGGATCTCTGCATTTGCTGAGAATGTGAACTGGGAAGTCCACGGGCGAAGTTCTGCATGTGTTGTAGTTCCTTTTAAAAATAAATGAAAAAACATGGTTAGGGTGATTCAAAAGTCTTGAACCTGTGCTCCGAAATTTTTTATGGTCAACTTTGAACTACAGTATTCGCAAATTTCCTACCAGCAGGGAATTGCAAAGACCTTGTAGAAACATGTGGAATCTTACTCTCATTTGTTCTCGTTTTTCTGGCATACGAGTTGTAAAATTTAGCTAAAAATTAGTCTCAAAAAAGCCTTAAAAGTGCCACAAAGTGAGGTTCATCCAAAAAATTTCGATTGACGGAGGTTTGAAAATGAATCCGTCTTGAGGCAAGTGGCCACGGATAAGTGGAAACTTTGATTTTGTGAGGTCTAAATGAGGTATTGTGACTATCAGTGACATCTATCATTTTAAAATTAAATTACGCTTCGGAAACATGAAGTGAATCTCATTCCAAACAGATTGAAAATTCACTGCATGTAGTACGAACATATATTGGAGTTGATGAACAACTATGGCTTGAAAATTTAGTCAGAAAAGCATGTTGAGCTTTCACGCGTACTGTTGTTCATTAGTACGCTGCTTGGTCTTTCTTCCACTGTATCTTTGGAATTGACTGCCAATTCATGATGGAGGAATGTTGATCTGATTTAAAAATACTGTAAAATGAATGAAGCATTTACCGAACACAACAGGAACATCCGCGCGGAATTGCGGATCAGCCCACGCATTCAAAGGACTAGATTTGAGTAGGACTCCATCGACGACGATCCAAGACCGTCTGACTTTGTTGTTCTCTTCCGGAGGCATACTGTACCAAAACCTGCGTCTGTTTTCCGGCACTGCTTTCAAAATCAGTTCCGCATCTCGCTCTCTCATGCATGCCATGGATTTGTCGCATTTGACCTTTTGCCAGAGCAACGAGTTCACCGTTTCCGTGATGTAAAGGGCGTCATTCGCAAAGTAACCCCCGCCGCTGAAAAAATAAAATAAAAATGAGAAAAAAAACGAATGAGACGAACCTTGTTCATCTGCAGTGATTCTCAGGAAAATAAAATATGTTCACTATATGAGCTACTCGAAATCCGCACTACACACACAAAAACCTCACAGATCACGTTGCTGTACTTCTAAATATTTTATTCCGCCATCATTACGAGACACTGAATTGATTAATGCCTGCCAAGAAGATGAGACATCGCAATGATGAGATATGACCTTCGAACAAGTTAGCTCCATTTTTGAAACGTAAAATTGCTGCACATAATCACAATATAAGAACCTCGATAAGTCAAATAATGTACCTCCCTAATTCAAATTGTTTTCTTGTCCCCGTCTGAAAAGCATGAGTTGAAAACCTCTTATATTAATGTACAATAGTACAGTACTCCAAGACTTTTCCTCTTGAACCTTGGTAACTCGAATTTTCTGGGACCTTTTGGCTATTAATGTCTTGACACACAAAAGATGAAATCAATAAAAAGTAGCTCGATTTGTTTTGAAAAGAAGTCAATGACTAATGATAAAAATGAACCCTAGCATCCAAGTTTAGCATCCTGTCAGTGATGGTCACCTCATTTAGGAATCAATTCAAGGCCCAGAATATCATCATCTGCAGATCTTCTGTTTTTCACAATAAAAATGCTTGTTAACCTTAATTTCCCGACCCAAAACCTTTCCAATAAGTCAAATTATTTTTGTTGGTCTCCTGATAAATTTACCTTAGAGAGGTTCGACTGTATTGATCTCAATTTATGATTGCTTCAGCTTAAATGGGCGTGTTAAGAAACTCCGTCTCCATATTCGCACAATTCTTAAATTAACCAAATGAGTCAAACCGGCTATACCAACCTTGCAATCCATACGCGATGAAACATCTTATCTCCATCTTCCGTCTTCAAGAACTTGGAGTCAACTGCAGTCAATGCCGTGACCAACGAAGCCCCGGCCAAGTGACCCAAAAGCGTCACTTTTCCCTTGTCCCCTCCAAAACTGCCGATATTAGCGTTGACCCATCGCAATGCTGCAATCAAGTCTCCGAGGCCATAATTCCCGCTCGATTTCCCGGAATCGGATTCCTTACTCAGCTCATTCAGCGTCAAGAAGCCCAGAGCGCTCAAACGGAATCGCGGCACGACCAGAACCACTTGATTGGCTTTTGCGACGGCGGCTAGATGTCGCTTCCGTNTGATCTGATTTAAAAATACTGTAAAATGAATGAAGCATTTACCGAACACAACAGGAACATCCGCGCGGAATTGCGGATCAGCCCACGCATTCAAAGGACTAGATTTGAGTAGGACTCCATCGACGACAATCCAAGACCGTCTGACTTTGTTGTTCTCTTCCGGAGGCATACTATACCAAAACCTGCGTCTGTTTTCCGGCACTGCTTTCAGAATCAGTTCCGCATCTCGCTCTCTCATGCATGCCATGGATTTGTCACATTTGACCTTTTGCCAGAGCAACGAGTTCACCGTTTCCGTGATGTAAAGGGCATCATTCGCAAAGTAACCCCCGCCGCTGAAAAAATAAAATAAAAATGAGAAAAAACGAATGAGACGAACCTCGTTTATCTGCAGTGATTCTCAGGAAAATAAAATAGCGTATGTTAACTGTATGAGCTACTCGAAATCCGCACTACACACACGAAAACCTCACAGATCACGTTGCTGTACTTCTAAATATTTTATTCCGCCATTACGAGACACTGAATTAATTAATGCCTGCCAAGAAGATGAAGCATCGCAATGATGAGATGACCTTCGAACAAGTTAGCTCCATTTTTGAAACGTAAAATTGCTGCACATAAATACAATATAAGAACCTCGATAAGTCAAATACCTCCCTAATTCGATTTGTTTTCTAGTCCCTGTCTGAATTCCCTTGAAAAGCATGAGTTAAAAACCTCTAACATTATTGTACAGTACTCCAAGACTTTTCCTCTTGAACCTCGGTTACTCGAATTTTCCGCGGCCTTTTGGCTATTAATTTCTTGACACACAAAAGATAAAATCAAGAAAAAGTAGCTCAATTTGTTTCGAAAAGAAGTCCACGACTAATGATGAAAATGAACCCTAGCATCCAAGTTTAGCATCCTGTCAGTCATGGTCACCTCATTTAGGAAGCAATTTAAGGCCCAGAAAATCATTTATCATTCCCTGCGGATCTGTTTTTCACAATAAAAATGCTTGTTTACCTTAATTTCCCGACCCAAAACCTTTAAAATAAGTCAATATTTTTTTTGGTCTCTTGATAAACTTACCTTAGAGAGGTTCGACTGTATTGATCTCAATTTATGATTGCTTCAGCTTAAATGGGCGTGTTAAGAAACTCCGTCTCCATATTTGCACAATTCTTAAATTAACCAAACCTCAGTTTGGCCGATATGGTTGGAACGTTAGGTATGCGCTACTTTGTAGAATAGAGGTAGAAGGCAGAAGTTCTTGAACCTCAGTTGACGTCAGTTACGGCACTGGTTGCTTCGGGGCCGGTTCACTCCCAAAAGCGTCACTTTTCCCTTGTCCCCTCCAAAACTGCCGATATTAGCGTTGACCCATCGCAATGCTGCAATCAAGTCTCCGAGGCCATAATTCCCGCTCGATTTCCCGGAATCGGATTCCTTACTCAGCTCATTCAGCGTCAAGAAGCCCAGAGCGCTCAAACGGAATCGCGGCACGACCAGAACCACTTGATTGGCTTTTGCGACGGCGGCTAGATGTCGCTTCCGTGGCTCCGTTCTGAAACGACAGGAGAGAGATTTTCTCAACTTGATCCTTGTATCTCAACTTGACAACTTCTCAAGACTTTTCGTTTACAGTCTTCATAGATTAAACTCATCAGGAAAATGGAGGAAAATCCATTAAATATTACCGTATACACAATTGGTTCTTCCGCTTATAAAAAATTATGAATAAATCCCCAAAAACTATTGAATAAAATTGTTTCCCTCAAATTCATGATGCAGACAATGATGATGCAGGAGAAAACCACAGAGAATCTGATTTTTGGCATCAAAAGGAGCTTCAGAAGCAAAGAACAAGAACAAGTCTTGCGGTACTGTGCATAGAAGATGGAAAAAATACTTTGATAAAAAACGAACACAAAATTGGCCTTTTTCATCATCATTAAAATTACAGGATAATTTGTAAATTATTTTTTAAAGGGAAAAATAGCTAAATTTTTTCAAGAGTGCACAGATGATGGAAAAAAGAAACACAGAAAAAAGAAGCACGAAATTGGCCTTCTTTTGATGATTAATTAGAATAAGTTTATGATGAAATATTTATGCTGTATTTAAATTTTTGGTAAATATATATCGGTAAATTTTTTCAGAATACTGAAAGTCAAAATGTAAAAAATAAAATTTCTCTATTTTTCGATTATTTAGAAGTGCCCCTGCATCGAGACATGATGGTCACGATGTCGAGGTCAGATTTTTTTCTTTACTTGAAAGGGTCCCGAAGTTGAATTGCAAATATTTCGCGGTGTCCGTATGTTGGGGTCACAGCACTGAATCGTCTGAAACATGACTACTGCACTCACCCGAAATCCCCGTTGAGCGTTTCCGCAGATATGACAAACACGACAGGCAACTTGAGGCGGCGACCCAATCGCGGCGTGAACACGTCCAGCGTGAGGCAGTCCTCGGCGCCGACGACGGCGGCGTCGTCCGCGTCGCCCGTGATCTGCAGGCACCGCGGCGCCGGTTTCGTCGCATCCCGCGCCTCGACACTGTCGGTGAACCAGGTGACCGGACACGATGATGGGCTCGGCAAAGCAGCCCCATCCGATCCGGGTTCCGATTTATTGCTGGTGGTGCTGGGCAGAAGCGGTTGGAAAGATTGCTTCCAGCGACGGGGACCAACGGGGGGAACGGCGTAGGGGATCCCGAGGTACTCGAACCCGCCGTCCTTGGCTCGTCTTTAATATTGACACATATATAGTTATACGAAGAGGAATCAATGCACAGTATACTGACGAAATTATGTTGAACCGTAAGTTCCCAAGTTTTCAAATTGTTTGTTCTGAATACAGTAAAATTTCATTACAACAAACTTGTGGGGACTTCAGAAAAAGTTTGTAGTAAAAAATTATTTGTGATAATGAGATTTTGAAAATTATTGACTGATTGGAAGATTTTCTTCAAATTAGACCTGCATATATTCAACATCTTCCTTTTGTGGCCTTTTCAGATGTTCTTCAATGGTTTAAGAACTGTGATTTTCAAAAAGAAATGTAATTGTTAATAATAGAAAAACAGATACTCTGAATAATAGGTAAATACTAGCTCACTTTCTTGACTCCCAAGTTTTTTAAAGCAATTCCTGCAAAGATTTGTAAGGGTGAATAAGTCAAAATTGCTAACAATTTTCACATCACTAGCATTTCTCAAGCATACAAACCCTTCTTAACATGAGTATTGCTGGGCTAATTTTTTCCCATCTGATTGAACAACCCCCCCCCCCCCATCCCATCATTATCATTCCTAACATAAGAATACTTTTTGAAAGAGAGGATTTTCAGGTGAACTTTGAAGAATTTTTGTGCTTGATTCCTCCTTATGTTCCAAGAACCAGTCACATTTGAAATGGGAAATGTGAGACTGTGCCTGCCTCCATTACAGATTTTTCATTAAGAAATCATAGAATATTCCTCAAAAAAGTTTGTTACATTGGAATTGGCAGTTGGTTGTAACAAGATTTTTATAACATGTACCCTATAGGATTTCTGCCAGGACTTGGAAAAAAGTTTGTTATATACCAAGAAATTTGTTGTAATGGTATGACACAAATCTAATGAATTTAAAACATTCTTTTACAACTACGGTAGTTCAATGGTCGCTTATCAAAGACTATATAGGTTTTACAGGTTTAATGAATTTTTCGAAATTTTTGTTATATTTAATCGACAATCCTCTCATATAGGAACATCCGCGAATATGCAGGAAAATGCCAAGATTGTTCGCTGCAGGGAATTGAATTGTGAAGTTCAAGCATGAATACACCCTAATTTTTAAAATTTCCAGGAATTCAAAGTTTGAGAAAAAACAAAAGAAAAGACGGAATCAACTCACCCCAGAAGTTTCCCACAGGCAGTCTTGACAACATCTGTGCCTTCAATTAACTCTTCCGCGGTTGCGGCGCTGTCGTCTGTTTCAGGACTCGCTGGGTTGAAGCAAATGATGATTAAGTGGTCTTCATACTCCTTTTGTCGCTGGTCTGGACGTTGTTATCCTTTTACTACGTAAAAATTTTTTATTTGTTTAATCTACGAGCTTTTAGGTTAACGTATTTTATAAGTAAACGCATAAGGGATTACTGATCTCGTGCCGCAAACAAAAAAATAAGCGCGTCGAAACAACTGTTAGAAACGGTATTTGATTTGCAGAAATTTTGGCTTGAATCTTTTTTGGAAGATATGAAATGAAATTTTTAGACAACAATCAGCAGGGCTGCGGCCGGGGTGCTTGACACCCTAGTGTAAGGTTGATATATTTTTCAGGTAATTGAGGTTGGTTTGATAACAGCAGTTTTTGCAAGCAGTCTTTTGTGCAAGACAACACGGAAGCAACTGATGATTCAATACAACAGTAATTCACTATTTATATAATTCTCTTTCTATGGCAATTTTGTCCCTGAAAGCATTATCCTTCTAAAAGGATTTCCCCAAGAATTCCGAATCTTGGGGGAACCCAAGGTTGCGCTCGGTCCCATTGGATCTCTGATTTTCTCAAAGTTCTGCCGTTTTAACCTATTACTCATTTCAATTTTCAACAACAGTTGATGTTGAAAAAATTCCAGGAATTTGTCTTGACCTGAAGTTGGGAAATTATTTTGAATATTCCGAACGAATGCTGGATCAAGTCTCATTTCAGCTTTTCCCTCACAACTTGACACTTCAGTAACGATCACAACATGCAGCAACACACAGGCAAAATATCTACAAAAAATTAGATCAGTTTTCTCACTGGAATATATACAGTCTATTGAATCTCGCCAAGCCAAATACTTCCATAACTCGAATTTTTTTTTCAAGTCCCTGTTGGGATTTCCATAGAAACATGGCATTAAAAACCTCCCTAACTCAAAGTATTTTTCTCCCAAACCTCTGTAAGTCGAATTTTCTGAGGCCTTTTGGTTTTTATTTCCTTGAAATATGAAAGAGAAAATAAAATTAAAAAAACAAATTATTTATGCATTTTGAAATGAAGTTAAAGACTAATTGAATGAATGAAGCCCTGCCTGCAAGCTGTAAACTCATTAAGAAGCAAGTTTAGGCCCAGAATATCCTCATTTACAATTTTCCATTTTCCTTGCAGCAAAAATAATTGTTTGCTTTACTCAAAACCTCCCTAAGTCGAATTTTTTTCCTGGTCCCCATAAATTCGACTTACAGAGGTTCAACTCAGATTCGGGGCAGTATTGATGAGAAATGTATCAACAATTCGAAAATTTTTATTTTATTTGATGAGCTGCACGGGAATTCATAAAATTTGAGACTTGAATATATGAGCCAACCGTCGCGTGTGTTTCAATTTACAGAACAATACAATTTCTCTTGTTGATAAGCCCATCAATCATTTCGAATTCTGCTTTTATGAAGAAATACGGAGTTTGTACTCCGTAAATATTTTTTGATCATTTTGACTTCCCCCTGCATCGCCGAAGAATTATATGCAATTTCGCGATTGTTTCCGAAAGTTTCTTTTCGTGGATCGTATTTGATTTCGAGCTGCTCAAGCTTCTGGCTTTTGTCAAGTGTCCAACCCTCACATTTTCCGTGTTGCATAACTCATTCCAGGAAAAACTTTCCCAAGCATTATAATTTCAGGGATTCTCCCCCTAGGGCAAGGACAAATTTTTACTGCAATCGAAATTGCAGCAATATAACAAGTGAGTTTCCACAGCACGGTCGCTATTTTATATTTAAATTCAGTCAACTCATTTTTAGCAATTTTCACTGTCATTGATTTGAAAGCGTTATACAGTATATCAGAAAATTTCAATGACAGCTTTCCAACTTGAATTGCTTTAAATGATGCAAGAGCTTACGATTTTCAATGTTATCACAATTTTAAACTGCATGCACAGAAACGTTGCAAAATTGAGGCCATGGATATTTTGCTTGCATTTCCACACCAAGTAAAAAAAACGAACAGATATTATACGTGTATTATTGCTGAATCACCTCGAGGGTAATTATCCATTTTTCTCCGCAACCTTTTTCTACGTAGCCAATTAGCATCGCATGATGCAGGGGTTTTTAGCGAATCGATATGTTGGCTGCTATGTATACTTTAAAAATTCAAACTTTAAGGGACACAGTGATGAGAAGTTCTCAGGCATGGGATATAGGAAAAATTGAGACAGACATTTGGAGACGGGTGTACAAATTTAATCAAGAAAAGTTATTCTAGAAAGGGAGTGTACGTTCCCAAGAAATTTTTGGGCAGAGTTTCGATCCTCTTTTTTACAAAAGTGGTCCCCCTTTTTTCTTGGGGAAGAGTTGTAGAGAAATTTGACCAGAGGGCTTCTAGATAGACCTTACTTGCACAGTTTCTAGGAGAAATAAGTGAGTAGACAATTTGGCAGGGGCGCGACCTGCCGGAATAAGCGCAAACGTGTTTTCAACACACAAAACCGGAAATGCACACACTCCCAACAATTGTACACAATGTTGTCAAAAAGATTTCTTTCTTGCGAATTATTAGAACTTTTGAGTCGGAATTCCTTGCGCAGAGTGTCGCAGTGACGGTGTTTTTCAGTCTGATGATCTGCGCTCCAAAATGGTCCACTATTTATATGCTTCTCGTCTCCTGGCTCGGTCCGGGGGTTTTTCAGGTTCTAACATTGAGGACTTCCGCCGGATCCCGGTAAATTCGGCCCAACTGTCTAGTGGGCTAATTTATCGGGACACGGCAATTTGGAACAGAGGTTTTCATTCCCTGAGAATTTGGATTTTTGGGATGAGCTCAAAAACTTTGAAAAGGACTCGTGGGAAGAGGATATCCCTCTTTTTGAACAAAATTTGACACAGCCCTTGGCCGTTTTTGTTTTTCCGAGTGCCGACACTCCAAGCGTAAAATTCCCCTCGTATTTTGGGGTAATTCAGTCCTCATAAAACAGAGGAAACCCCGTCGTTTTTTAGAGGGGGGTTATCTCCTTCAGGGCAGCTTAACTGCCGCCAGATGTCTTTTGCCGTTCTTCTTTCGGCACGCCAATCAGCGTGCCGACTATTTAGAAATATAATCCCGAAGTTCAAACTTTGGGAAAACGGTCAGTAATTTAACGTCGAAAACATGACACGAGAGTCGTCTCGGCCATAATTCTTCACAACGGGGCCAATTTGAGATACGTCCAATTTGATACACAAACTTTTGGAGACAGGGACAATCCGAGACAGAAACTTTTGGAGACAAGGACAATTTGAGACAGGCACATTTGGAGACAAAGAGAATTTTGAGACAGATAATTTTGAGACAGAGAATTTTGAGACAAGGACAGTATTTGAGATAGAAGCATTTCCTTGCTTTCATTTCCTCTCTTAATGAATTGTAATACACTATTACACATGAAAAACATTAGAAAATCCTTAATCATTTTCCTAAATATAAAGGTAAACTGTACAAAATATTATCTTACAGTCAATAAAATTACACAAATTTATATCCATAACACTATACTATCCAGTATAGAAACAAATCTCTAGTGAAAAAAATTAAATTAGGGGGTGTTTAGAAACATGGGTTTTTGGGAATCAGGAAACAAGCTAATCTCCTCAGGAATCTTGTGGGACTAGAGTTGACCTAGCATTCCCACAATCTTCTCTGAGTAATGTGCTGTCCTTTGAGGACTATTCTTAGGAAATCCCTAAAATTCAGCAACCACATTTCTCCTTTCACCTTTCTTCATTGAAATAGTTTTCTTGGTCATCTTTGACCAATTCATTTGTCCATTCGAATCCCAGAGTCCAAACCAAACAGACTTAGAAAGAGTCCATTTTGGTATTTGAACTGCAACAGTTGCATGTCTTGATTTTGTTTGCCAAATTTCTCCTCATTCTTGAAAACCTGATTTCAAAATATTTGTGCTTTTCTTCAAGATAAATATATTGACATTAAACTAGGGCTTTTCAGCCCTGGCCACAGTCCAGCTGACCAAGCATTTTCATACCAAACTAAATCTCATTCATACTTTTTCTTGTCAAGGATTCATTCCCAACATATAGCACACAAGTAATTTTAGGGAATATTTCTAACAATGGATACTTCAAATATTCAAGTTTTTAAAATAATTTAAAATTCCCCAGCATAAAATATATAATTCTCCATGATTCACAAAGAATCTTGGGAAAATCAGAAAATTAAGCATAAAAGAAAAGAAAAAAAACTTGTGTGTGCAGAGTTACTTCGGGACTGTCTCAAATTGTCCCCGTTTCACTTTGTCCAGTCTCAAATTGTCTGTCTCGATTTTTCAGTATCCCCTGGGGGATGAGAAAAGTGGCTTGAAGATTTGTTTCCGGTCATTCGTTGCATTCCAAATATTCAAGTTTTTAAAATTCCCCAGTATAAAATATATAATTCTCTATGATTCACAAAGAATCTTGGGAAAATCAGAAAATTAAGCATAAACAATTATTTGTGTGTGCTGAGTTACTTCGGGACTGTCTCAAATTGTCCCCGTTTCACTTTGTCCAGTCTCAAATTGTCTGTCTCGATTTTTCCGTATCCCCTGGGGGATGAGAAAAGTGGATTGAAGATTTGTTTCCGGTCATTCGTTGCATTCCAGGAGTTGCAGAAAAATCGGGCCTTTCGAAGGAAACGAAGGCTGAGGAAAAATTAAGCATATTATTGACGTGGGAAGAATGCGGAGAGAAGAGAAAAGGAAAATAAAGATAAACAAAAAATAAAAAACCCCGCTGAATCACATTATCGGTTTGCATGTCGTGCCCGACCAGGTGAGAAAATCACGACCGCGGCGACGACGAAGGAACAACAGCTAGCTATACGGTAATGTCGGGTTCGAAACCCATCATTTTTCACGGAGGTGTGAACAGGAGAATATTTTCTCTCTTTTATTACTTTTTTTCCCTCTTCCTCTTGGCGTTTATTTCAAATGCATAGCGAAAAAAAAGCCAGAGCCTAAAAGAGCCTTTTAAGCTCGACCGTAAAAAAGGTAAAGGGTAAGTACGTAAAGTTTAGGAGGCGCTTTTAACAGGTACGGGCGTAATAAAGGCAGAAAAAGAGGTTTTTTGTTCTCGAGGGAAAATTTATTTCGAGGGAGAACTTGAGCTTGATAAATTGTCATTTCAGATAAAGTTTACAAATACTGTAGAACATATTTTCCGCAAGGGTCTCCAATGAGTATAATTTAGTCCATTTAAAAGACGCATGCATATAAATACGGTGTATATACTATTTTTAATGTGCACTTTGAAGCATATTTTTTTTAGATTTTCGATGCATTCCATTTGATTTAGAATTTATAATAATACGTATTTTTAACTAGATCAATAAAATTGAAACTTTCCAGAAAATTTGATGGCCAAAGCGACAGTATGTTAAAAATGCTTCCGAGACATTATCGATTCAGCTAATTTTCAATGTTTAGAAAACCTTGTTTCTGACGTCATCCCTCAACAATTTTCAGAATTCTGAAGTTATGTTACAACTTCACACGATGAAAGAAATGAAACTTTTTGACGACAGCTTAAACTATATCCTCTTACGATGCCGTCACCCAAAATGCTGTTTTCCGTTTGTAATGTACAAAATTTGATAGTTTTTGCAACATGAAATGCGTAGAAGTCACCCTAAAATATTTTCAGTGATTCGCTGCAGAGAAAAATAAGTAAAAATAATCATAATGAAGCCTAACTTCACGTGGAATCATCTGACTGTGTAATACATTTGGGAACGCGAATAAATTCGACAAAAATAAATTCCCCGCGACAATTACTTGTACTTCGAAGAATAACTCACTGCGCTCACGGCGTCACCAAAAATGTTTTTTCCTGTTTGTAATTTAAATAATTTCAAGCCTTTTTCAAAATGTTTTCCTAATTTCCGTCAATATTTTTTTCCGCAACGTTCCTTGCCTTGGGTAACAAAAAAGTATGGTACAGTTCACCCGAAAAGATCCCCGAATACCAGAGTTACTTGAGTAACACGCAAACCTTGAGTAATAAAGACACGCACCCCATTTTTAGTGACTGAAAAACTACAATGCCTAAAAAATTAAAACGGCAGAATGTGAATTTAAAAATCGATACAAACTAAATTTAATTTTGATTTTCATTTGTTTTGATTTTTAAAAAAGTCAAAAACTTCGCAGTATATTCAGGTGTACGTGACGTGCACCCAAACTTTCCAGCATTTTTTTTTAAATTTACGGTAATTCCCGCCCATGAAGCGTGTCTCTTATTTAATCGTAATATTTTGAGAAAAAAAATAGTGCTATCTTCTCAATGAGAAAAAAAAAAACGTGGGGAAATGAACCCCGTTTAAGAATACGGGGTTTAAGCCGCCTTCATTTCTTAGCCGCCTTGTCGATAAAAATGGCGGAATTGCCTTGGAAGACCTGGAGGCAACCCTTGGAATTAATGTCATGTCGATTTCAAGAATTCTGAGGTGAAAGATGAGCTACAACAGCAAAAAAAAAAAAACTGCGGGAAGGGCACTTCATCTTTTGAGTGGAGAGAAAAACTCTGCAAGGGGGAATTTTGCAAAACATTAAAAAAAATTGTCAAACAGGGCTGATTTTTTGTGTGTACGAAAGAATATGATTTCCCTAGAGAATAATTTTTTTTTAATGTTCGATTATACGCCATTTTAATTTCTATTCCGAGAACTTCTGCTAGAGCCCTCGTAAATCATGCAATCAAGGAAAAAGAAAAGAAAAAAAAAATAAAAACTCACCACAAATGAGCCATCGCTGGTTCTTCCTGGTTCCAGCACCAGCAGCACGGCCAGTGTTGCCAGCTGTTGTCGAGGGACTCGTGCCATTGTTGTTCTTGTTGCCGGATTTGTCGTTTGTGGACTTGTTGGTGGCGGGGGCGCGGGTCCAGAGCCAGTCCGGAACCCGGAACTTGTTCCGCTTATTGTCGTCAGCACCATCCGGGTTCTTGCTGAAGGCGACAGCTGACGGGGATTTGTTGCTGTGCCCATTGTCGGTCAGCTTCTGTTTCTCGTCGGCGACGTCGTCGTCG